ATTCGAAGGAGTCGTCACCTGAATGGCTGACTTGTGAGGTAAGGTTGTGGGCAAGGGTTGTTTTGGTAGAATGGTTTGGAACATAGCAATAAGCATCCTTTGGAAAGAACGGTGCAGAAGGGTGCATGGTGGAGACGATGCTATGGATACTGAGTATTTGCTCGTATTGAAAGTATACTGAAGCTAACCAAGGAAGGGAATGTTGTTCTCCATATCGATTTTATGTTCGAATTTTTAGAGGAAACACGGGTCAGAGTTCAAAAAATTCGAACATAAAAGGTTGCATCGTCGAAGAGGAGAATTTTGTTCATGATACCATTCCCGAAACGACTGTGTTTCCTCTAAAAAATTTCTCCCATCGCTAAGATCGTGTGAGCATAAACAACTCATCAGTTTAATGTCAGATGAAGGCGATACACCTATATTAGTTTGGAAGTTCGAATGTAACAACAGAATTATCGAAACAGTAAAATTTGCTCATACCATAACTGTGTGTTAAGTTGTGTTCCCATTCAAATCGTTATTCTTATGAGCGAAAATAGTAGATTGTTTCGACATCAAACAAAGGAGATACACCCTAAATTAGTTATATATCGTGTCGTGAATACGATGTCCCTCTTTTTTGGATTCCAAATCTAGTTTCGTTGAGTCATTCGTGATCATAGAAGGGTTTATTGACCTACCTTGAAATTTTAGGATTTACAAAACAAACTTTTAAAACAAAAAAGATTGCTTTCTACCAAGCTCAAACCTAGACCTTGGTGGGAAATGCAATTATATTTCCGTTGGACTAGGTCGGGTCCTAGGGGTGTTAAAACGGATTGGTTACCATGGTAACCATTTTCTACTTCCTCTGTCACAACACCATTCCAAAAAGCATTGCTCACATTCATTTTATACAAATGCTAGTCAAGTGAAAATGTGTCACAATAATCAATACCATATACTTGTGTATACCTCTTAGCAGGCCCGACTCAAGACCTGTGCTGACAGATCCCCTAACATAGGCCCTCATTCTACTATCATAATTACTCTTATAGGTTGATGGGCTTTTATAGGCAAATACAAATTTTTTAGAAGAATAAAACAAAACTAACCTAATTAAACTAATGGATCAACGAGCATATGGTGGGTAACTAATCCTGCTCAAATCCATGGTCTCGCCTTTGATTCCACAGGCGTGGATTTGATGTTTCTGCCCGTGAATTTTTCCTAATCACCATAAGATCTTCAAGTTGCTCATTTGGTTCCCAGGATGCTTCAATATAGGGAGCGGATAGAATAACAACAATTCTTTTGTTGTTACTGTAACAACAAGGGTATAAGGGTAAATTGAACAAAATAGAAATTTAATTAATATATATTTTTCCTTCCCAACTTCCGTGTCCTGTTACTCCGCAACCCTCCCCAGATTTCGGTTGTCCCCACTGGCGGATCCAGGGGGTGGCCACCCCAGGCCCCGGCCCAGCCCTCCTCTGGATCCGTAGTTACTATAGTCCTTATGAAATTTTTGATTTTAGACATTCGACCTAGTGTTATTCTATGATAAGATTGGGTTTAACTAGAAAAATTATCAAGTTAAACATATTCAAATCACTATTCTAAATTTAGCCTAGAAATTTGAGCCCCAAAGATTATGCGTCTTAAAAAGACAATGAAATCTAAAATTCTAAAAAGTTTAAAACGTAAAAGACTAAAAAAAATATGAGGTTTGTTCCCTTACAAATTTACTAAAGCAGCTGGTGTGCAGGGATGGACACACAATGCAAATTGATTAGTCGATTGATTTATCTAGTGTTGATGTTGCTCATTTCAACAGCTACTACGAAGAGAATCTTTTTAACAATGAAACATGTGAGAACTTATTTGCTCAACAAAATGAGCGACGGATTTCTCGCCGATTGCTCAAGTATTTTATTTGAAACAGTGTATACTATTGGTATGAATGTAGACTTCATTTTTGATGCATTCCCTAAATTAAAATACAGTCGTGTACAATTTACATTGCAAAAAACTATAATCATCATATTTTCTTACGGTTCTAATTTTCTAGTGAAATGCGGCCCAGTGCTCTTCTGTGTTCTGGATCCGCCGCTGGTTGTCCCTCTCATCGACGAGATCTACAGCAGCATTCCCCCTCCTCCGCTACCCATCGAAAACGCCTCTTTCGACTCCGACGGCAGAAGCACCGTCCTCCTCCGATCGTAAACAAATCGTAGTCCTTCTCATGCAACAAGCACGAATCAACTATCAAAAAGAATCCCGTCACCGCCGTCGATTTCTCAGGTACCGACCGGACAAATAGCCGCCACAGTGATCTTCTCTATTGCGATGTCCCCGATTACACCTTGCAGTAATCCAGCTTATAATCGGTTCCATCATCGAGGAAATCAAGACTGGAGGGACGGGGAGAAATCGGACTCTGAAATTCCGGCACTCCTCGCTCCCCTGCTGCTCTGTCGCTACGCGTTTCTCTCCCGCTCTCCTCTACCTGTAGCTCCACCGCTCTTTCTCCCTCCCAGAGCTTCGCGGCCATGGCGGCGCCGGCTCGACTTCATTGAGTCTCCCAAGCTTCCCCGTTGAGACTCATATCTCTCTGGTTGTCCTTGTCCTGCAACTTCGCCGCGCTTCCTTTCCTAGAAATTCGCGGCCATCTACCAAAAAAAAAAAGAAATTCGCGGCCATGGCGGCACCGACTGTGAACTAGTTAGTCAAGGGGAAATTCATTCCAAAGGATTTCCATGAAGTACTTCTACTGTTCAATTTGTTGTTTCTAATTATCAATTGAGTGGCAGTGGATAGATTAATTGATCCAGTATGCTTGCAAAAGCTTTCTTAGGTCGAGTCAGCTCCTGCGAAGAGCTATTTGTCAGTTTGTTCCAATTTGTTGTTTCTCAATTACTAATTTGTTGTTTCTTAATTTGTCAGTAGATAGATTAATTACATATTGAGCAGCCACTAGTTTATTGTGATTTAGTTTGAAGATGCCATCTTAATTTGTGGAACATTGGCACGTTGCATTCAAAAAAAATTCTAATCTCAAAAGTTTCTTAATCCATATCACAAATCTCCTTATTTAGACCTGAAATCCCACAAAACATACCATAAACTCCGTAATGTATATCACAAACACGGTAAAACAAACCACAAAAAGTATACCAGAAACCTCTCAATACATACCACAAATAGTCTAAAACATAGCAGAAACCTCACAAAGCAAACCACATAATTTTCAAAAACACACCAGAAACCTCATAATGCAAACTACAAACACGATAAAGCAAACCACAAAAACAAACCAGAAACGTCCTAATGCTGACCAAAAATCTATTAAAACAAACCAGAAACCTCACAAAGCAAACCACAGAATTTTCAAAAACACATCAGAAACCTCATAATGCAAACCACAAACATGATAAAGCAAACCACAAAAACAAACCAGAAACGTCCTAATGCAGACAAAAAATCTATTAAAACAAACCAGAAACCTCGCAAAGCAAACCACAAATATATTAAAACAAACCAGAAACCTCGCAAAGCAAACCACAAAAGTTTCGAAAGCACACCAGAAACTTCTTAATGCATACCAGAAACCTCCGAACGCATACCACAAATCTCCTAAAACAAACCACAAACCTCACAAAGCAAACCATAACATTTGCGAAAGCACACCAGAAACCTCCTAATGCAAACCACAAACACAGTAAATCAAACCACAAAAAAGCAAACCCTAAACGTCCTAATGCAAACCACAAATCTTCTAAAACAAACCACAAACCCCTCAATGCAAAACACAAATTTTTTGAAAGCAAACCAGAAACTTCTCAATGCAAACCACAAACACGATAAAGCAAACCAGAAACTTCTTAATGCAAACCACAGAGACGATAAAGCAAACCACAAAAGACATACATAAATATGAGAAACCAAACCCTAAATCTCACAATGCAGACCATAACATCCGGTGGTCGTTGACCGTTGACCGGTCAGCGAAGACCGTTGACCGGTCAACAAAAATCGTTGACCAAACTCCGATGACCGTCAGTTACCAGATTCCGGCGCCGATAGGCATATTCCGGCCCCGATGACTAGATTCCGACGCCGGTAAGCATATTCCGACCACGGTGAGCATATTCCGGCGACGGTGGCATATTCCGATGACAAAATAGCATATTCCGGCGACGAAAAGCATATTCCGGTGACCGGCGACCATTTTCCGGCGACCGGTGACAGAATTCCGGCGACCAAAATTTTGGGCCGAAAAAATAAAAAAATATTTTTTTTTATTTTTTAAACATATTTTTCATAATGACAATTATACCCCTGCTTTGATTTTACACTAGGTCAACTCATCTAATAAAAAGTCATCACAATCCTAGCTTCCTATTTGTTGGAGACTAGTGTTGTTACAATAACAACACAAGGAGTGTTGTTATAGTATCTAGTCCCTTCAATATATATTATCATTCAACGTCGTTATGATCTTAAGCAAGACTTGTATTCTCACTTCCAACTTCTAGCTTCTCTCAAATGGCTCCCAATATGATTGATTAAGCGTCCAAAATAGGTACCTTGAAGTTGTTCCCGCACTTAGTCAATTTCAGCACCTCCTTCTTTCTTGATTTTAGCACTACTTGGAATGCTTGGAAACGAAAAAGCTTCGACCACCTCACCGTGCCATATCGAGTTGCCACTATCGATCTTAAGCAACACTTTCAATAAGTGTTGCAGACATATAGTGTTGGCAAATGTCAGACACCAAACAAGCATAAAATATGACAAATAATTACGATTACGTTTCTCGTATATATGAAAGTAGGCACCGACGACCATATTTACATGTCACATCTTATGTGTGATTATTCAAAAAAAAAGGCTGGAAACATTATGATCATATTATGAGATATAGGATCTGTTTGTAAGGAGGATAGATTGACAAAATCATTTATATCTCATCATGCTTCATATATAGTACACATATACAGGCTTCATTGAGCTTGTTAATTATCGATGCAGCGCACATGCTTGTAACGGATTGGAATGTGATGATCACATTGTGGTTCTTCACTACGGCCGCTTGTTTCGACGAGGTGCTGGAAAACACCGTAATCCAACATCAAACTCGCGTTGCTGCCATGATATTGTTTACAATAACCGGTAACTCTCACCGTTGCTTGCTTGCCATTTCCAAGATTCTTCACCTACAACCCAAAAAAAAAAACACACACACATATTTGTACACAAGCAAGATGCACTCAGTACCACAAACCATGGTCCATGAAACCGTACCGGAAAAGTCAGCGGTAGGTTTTTTTATGACAAAACCGTGGTTTAACCGTAGTTCAACCGTTCATACCGTTAAATACCGCCTACCGGTTTAGCCTTCGATACTGGTATTTTGTGGTTGAACCGCCGGTACGATACGGTTTCATGGACCATGCCACAAACACGCAAATTAATAAAGTTACCTCTAGGCATTGGCCTGCAAGAATAACATTGGCTGAAACCATTGCTGATTGTCCACAAAGTTCAGCCGAACCATACCCATGAACCCTAACCCGCCTAGGGTTAGGGCTAGCCACTGATGATGATGCATTTTGCCTTGTATTGCAGTTAAGGCCGTTGCCGTCGTCGTCGTAGGTAGCAACTATGATATTGTCGTCGTCGCCGCCACCATGATGGTGATGATCAGCAGCAGCATGCGCGGCATTTTCGTAATAAGTACGATTTGCCGGGAGCTGCTTTTCGTCGGCAGATGAGGAAGCGCAATTTCCCTCGCAGTAACATTTATCGCAAGTTTTTTCGCCACAGTAACAAAGCTCGCAGAAATCCAATCCAGATCCGCAGTAGCGGTCTTTACTACAACAGCGCCCTGGGTCGCAGTCGCTGCAGCTAGTGTAGGCTGCGCAGTCACATTTATGATTTTTCCATTCGACGGCGACGGCGGGCTGCAGCGGCAGCAGAACAAGGAATGTTATCAATACCGCGCGCGACAAAAGAAGTATTTCTCGCCTCATTGCTAGCTAATGAACCAGCGCCTTGTATTGTATGTATGTATGTTTTTGGACGTGGAAAAGCTATTTATATAGTGCAAGCGGGAGAGATCCGGCGTGGGGAAACTTATTCAGCAGAAGCAAACTTATTTCAAAGGATCAGCCGTCTTTCCCCACGTTGCACTATGAATTTGATTTGGAGTTACAGATACGAGGAATGGAAGACAAGCATTGGTAAATGATCCGATTTACTTTCTCACTACATTTAACAATTTTCATTTGCTTTAGTTTTAATTTTTTTTATTCGCTGGACGGCAGAGTATCAGCATGTCGCTTACGTCAAGCTGATAAACGACGATTCAGAAACTGATTTTTACGTGTAAAAGACCTCCTATAAATAAGCTCTTCTTTTACATATATGGAAAAACACCAACTGAGGGTACACCTAACTAGCATACACCGTTCTGGATCCCAAAGACCAAACAAGACTCAAATTCAAATACCACTTATTGAAACCAAGTAACTCTATTAGTATGGTATTGTCCGCTAATGATCAAATTCGCACGAATTTATTTTGTATTTCTTTTTTTTTCTGGATTTTGTGTTCTCCTCCCCTTTTCCAATTTTTATTAAGCTTGCCTCTCCGCTTCTTCCCCTCATTAATCGTGATCAACTCATTTAAATAAATAAAAAATCATCCAAACGAAATGTTTCTATTGACTAGAGAAAGTGTTAGCACCATACTAACAAAAACATTCTAACCATTTCCTAATAACAAAATATCTAACAGATCTAATACTTTTTATCAGAATATCTCATGTAAGTTAACTTATTAAATTACAATTTCATTGTTCAAGTAGTAGGGATGGAGAAAATGAACCGTAACACGATTTATTGCTAAAATTAAGGTTTAACGTTGAGTGAGGCTTTTCTTTTGTGAAACCCGTCTCTTTTGGGTAAAATGCGGGTTTTGATTATGCAAACATGTAGATACTCGAACCAACCCTTGTTATAATTATTGTCCGAAGTATTCATATCCAATACGTATTTGTGTCAATAACAAGCATATTTGTAAGGAAGTTCGGATATTTTGACATATTTTTTCTCTTAGTCTCACTAGTCTAATGCGTTCTTCAAGTGAAACTTTAGACATAGATTTAATACAAGTTATGCATGGTTCACGTTTCTTTTTTTTTTTTTTTTTTTGTACAATTATAGAAGTATAACGTATTTTGTGTTGGATTGGGTTATTACTTAAATGTATAGTCCATCAAATCCAATTCAATCATAAACAAACCGTAGGGTTCTATATATTTGGATGTGTTTGAATTTAATGTTTTCAAAACCGCAGAGTATGGGTTGCATTTCTTCACCTACTTGCTGTTCAAGAAGGAAACCAAGCCTTACATCCTTTGACTTCATGCTTGCCTTCGAGCGCATATGCATCCTGGCGACAACCAAGAAAGTGCTCGACAAGCTGCAGGACCACTTGGAGCTTACCGAGGAGTAAATGGAGGCGTCAAGAAAGACTCTGGCTTACCTGGAGGTGAATTGTCGCGTGAAGAGAAGCAACAGGATTTGGCATATCGCTTTCAGGTCTGGTTTCTGGTGTAACAGTGTAGTCTGGAAGTCTTCTTCAGAAAGTCAGGAAATCTAGAGTTGGACCATGGATTCAGGAACCTAACTAACTATAGCCAAGGGGAAAGCTTTTAAGGTGATCATAATGTGAAACAGCAGAAACTAGCCCATACTGGAACTCCCGTGTGTTGCAACATCTACCTTCTGGTGACAATAGATTCTACAGCCTATGAAATCATCATGAGAAAAAGAGGGAGATGTCTTCTTCGCATTCATCATTATGACTTTTCTACGGGGAAATTGTGTTAACTGCAACCACAAACGAGGTAGATTTTGTTACATCATTAGTGCAATTGTTCTTGGCCAAATACAAATTCACAAGTCAATTAAGCCACACTACTGCAGAGTCATGGACAAGCTGATATCCTCCCGTTGAAGAAGGATTGACATGAGGGGCCAAAATGTGAAATGTAGAGCACCAAAGCATCCTCCTCGGCTCAAAGCATGCTCGTAAAGCCACACAAAGGAGCAGCTAAAGGTACAATTCACCCTTTCGCATGATATAGCCCCTAAAGCCAGCATCCGATGAAGCTCTCCAAAGTCGTCCAGCTTTCGCAGCCTAGTTAGACTTCTAGGTACAACCATTAATCTGCATATGTACTGTTACTAGTATCAAGCATGAATTTAAGAAACTGAAAGCTACTGAGTTTACTGCTAAACAAGACAGGGCGTGGTTACCCTGCAAACAAGGAGTTGGTCTGCATAGACTGATATCGATGGATGACCCCAACACCATGCATTTACAGCCGTCAGACCAATGCATGTGACGTTATTCACAAAATTAACACAACCTTTCCTCACAAACTGGGAACTCCATCGATCCAATGGCTGTGAATGCGTCGGAGATCCAATAGTATCATCCCATGCAGAGTTGCAAGCCCACCCCTTGTTTGCATGGTGGCCAAATTAGAAACCTGCCTGTTTCTGATCACAAATTCTCTGAACTAGGCACTCATGATTTCCCATATGCTACATCCTACGAAAGCAAAAGTCGTAAAGGAGAAAAGATACCTCTAGAAAGCAGGAACCTCTAAACTTCACAGAAATGTCAGCAAAAGCAGAGCAAAGCCAGCAACTAAACCCAGTTGTGTAGGTAGCCTTCCATCAGCACCTCCATAATATGGTTGGATCATTATATCAAACTTGCAAGTTCCTTGTGAAGGGTTTGTTTTCACGATCGTCGACAGATTGGGAAACTTGCAAGCCTCGTCCTGCTGATCGTGGATCTGGAAGTAACTGTTGAACGCATAGGAAATGTTTCCCTTCCAGTCCAACTCCCCGCATGAAGTGCCATAACCAAGTTTCGTGCAGTCAGCAAGGCTACAGGCGTAGCTGACACTTGCCGCGACATTAGGATCATCAAGCCTCGCATTAGGTCTCATCACGCACCATTTGTTCTCCTGGTACTGAATACCCTTCGCCGGAATCAGCTGACCAGCGTTTGTCGTCCCGAGGTTGAGGAGATACTTAGGCTGTCCATCGTACGTAAATATCCCCCAGTGACGTTCAAAGTTCCCCGGATCGACACTCTTGGCATCTTCATCGATCAGGCTGAATAGATATGCATCAATTGGCCCAGGCCTCAGTGGAGTTCCTTTCCCACCTGAGCAATGTAGTCAGGATTCCAATTTTAGATCTTATGATAACGGTTTTACCATAGTGTTTTCTATATTTTACGTAAAAGTCACGATTTTTACAACAACGCACCTGCTATACGTGACATGAAGCCCTGGTTGAACCGGCGGGCGTACTCGACGTTTGCATTCCGATCGCCATCAGTCGGCCACCCGATCTCTCCGATGATGATTGGCATGTTGCCGAACCCATTCTTCTGTAAGGTGTGGACCAATGTGTCAAGGTTGGCGTCCAACATGTTGTAGTAGTACGTTCCGCCGTCGTTTACAGGCGATGCATTGCCGTCGAAGAAAGCGTACTCGGCGGGGAAGTTGGAGTCGATGTAGAGGCTTATGAAAGGGTATATGTTGACGGTGAACGGCGAGCCATATTCACTCAATAGCTTGACGATGGGGATCATGTAATCGTGGATGTCTTGACGGAAGTCGCCACCAGATGGGAGACTGTTTGCACTCTCGTAGACGTCGGCGTTCATAGGGACGGTGACTTTCACTTGGTTGCTGAGCCCGGCTTTTATGAGTGCTGATTGGATGTTCTGGAGAGCTGGTAAGGTGGTGCTGAGAAAGGTTCCGTTGTATGTCTGCAGAAAGGGTTCGTTTCCCACTGCAACATATCTGAAACCAGAAACAGTGAGACCAGTGATATCAGTAAATAAATAAGGAGAGCAGGTTAACAGAAGGAACCAGTTCGTACCAATAACTCGTGTTCAGGAATAGGTACAAATTTGAATCTTACATCATTTCCCTTGTAGTTGATACAAAGAAACATGTTTACATCGTTAGCCATTAGCTTGTTACAGCAATAAGTAGTCAGGCCCTGAAGCTGTTAGGGGAAAGAAGAGAAGGCAGTAATTTTGGCCTTATTGCAAGATCTGTGCTTTCGGGAAAATTGAGGGTTTGATTGTGCTTCTCCATGGAACACAAGTTCTGTATTGTTGACTCTATGCACTAAAAGGTTTATGGTGACCTCTTTGGTTACTTACGAATGCCAAGATTAGTCCTTCCTACTTCTGGAGTCTTAAATAATACTATGGTAAGGTATGAACTATATTTCAAAGTACCAAGAAGAACAAGCTACAAGTTCAGTACTATATTTTGCTTCCTTGTTCTAAAGCTGATTCTGGTCTCCTAGTCCTGGGTTGTAGAATTGCCCAGTTCACTTCTTCTGTCATACAACAATAGGTGCTTATGTAGCCTTGATTAGCCTATGGTAAGACAGAACAAGGCTTCTAATTACCAGTAAGGTAAGCTCAGATATCAACTTAAAAAGACTAGTAGTAGAATTTAATACAGGAGTTCTAAACTATAAGTTGCCTTCCTGACCGGAAATAAAACGAAAAATCATTGTATTGAATTTGATAGAATTAAGTTCCATAATACGTATGCACAATAATACCACTCTCAAAGGACTGTCTCTGTCAAATAGATAAGCGAGTACAAACCTAAATAGCACATAACTAAGCAGCTAGTGGCTTAACTCAATCATGCTAAAACCATGCTGTAATTGTTGTAAGTGGGACCACATCCCCCCAGATAAAAAATTGATGATCCATCAATGGCTTTCAACATCATGAAACAACAACATATAGTCAAAGAAGGACAAGGAAAGTCTTTCATATTGATCAATCATACCAAAGTTTCTGGCAGTCAAGGTCAAGTTCATCACAGAAAAGGATCCATCTTCCCTTTTTTCATTTGTGGCAAACCGATTAAATAGAGAAAAAGGGGCAGAAAAGGGCTGCAGAGAACTGACCTGATGTTGACATTATCAGTGGTGATATGCTTGGAGACATTCTTGGAAACCCATTCCTCAGCATTCTTCATCTTGGCAGCCAGAGGAGCAAGCATATCGTTTGGGATGCCAACCATGACTTCAATCCCAGACTTCCCCAGAGCTCTAAGGGTGTCATAATCTGCATCAAAAAGCTTAACCTTTTGGATCCCATTTTCTCTCAGCAGCCTCACTACTATGTTAGGGTTTAGAGGGTGAGTTGCTTGTGTGCCCCAGTTAGCACCTATGCCACTTCCCACAGTTAACGATGAGAACAGTGAAACTAACCCAAGAAACAAAGACACCAAACCCATCCTTCCAAAAGACAGAAAGAAACACAGACAGAAATCCCAGCTGAGTTGCCAAAATCAGAAAACTGGGTTTGATGCTAAAAGGGGATTGCTCAAATGGGTGCGAGGCAAAAAAGTGATACCAACCAAGTTAAGATGGAAACAGAACCAGCAAAACAAAACAAGAATTGGGTAAGGAAAGGTAAAGAAAAGTGCTTAATGGTTGCTGAGAAAAAAAGTAGGGGAACCCAAATACAGAAGGTGCATTTGAAATCCAGTTGGGAAAGAAAAGGATAAACTGATGCCAAGTGAAGAGACACCAAAGAGCTCATCTAGAGAAGCATGTCTAGTTAGACACAACAGGGGAAGCAACAGCCTGTTAGCTGAGTGTTCTTTTTTTTCCCCTTTCTATCCCTCCCACGGATTTAGCTTTTACCAGGAGAGCTCAAGAAAATGAAAGAAAACTCAAATCACAAGTGGTGCTAAGGAAAGGTTAGGGATTTCAGTTTTAGGCCAGAAACATTGGAGCACTGGCGCTTGATGGTGGAGTTACAGAGCTCAATAAAGAACAGAACCCCTGATTGGGTGGGGAATCTCGAAAGCAGACGAAGCTTAAGAAATAAGAACAGACATGCAGTCATTAAATGCGAGAGGAAATGAAATTGGGAAAAGGGTACACAGCAGTAAAATTTGAAAATTACTGAGGTAAACAGCAGAGATGGTACGATAAAAATGAAAAACAAGGAAGGAACTTTGGAAGAGAGAGGAGCAGGACTGCAGAAGAGAAGATGGCGAAGAAAATGATAGAACAATGGAGAAGTATGAATAACTTGAAAATATCCTAATATAATAAAAGTTATACTGTGGGTACTGTTCCGTAAGAGGTTTGCTAATATGTACTGTGATTATTTTTCTTTGGTAACAGCCTATTGTGTTTGAACAAGTAGCTGACTTACAGATTTATTTTATATTTTTTTGTTTGACTATCAATTTTCCTCCACCCTCTTTATCTGATATCTTCTGGTGCCTTTTCTGCATACTTACTCTTCTTCCCAACTTTTCTTCTTCACTGTTTTGTTTTCCCTTTTATCTTCCGTCTCCTCTTTCTTTCTTTTTTTCTTTCTTATCTTCAATCAACTTGGATTAGCAGCTTCCCCCTCCGTATTTTTGACATTCACCCTGTATTAGGACTCAATCTTTAAAGATGAAGAACAATAAATAATCAAAGCACAAAGTATACATATTTATATAAAAAAGGTAATCAATTCCTTCATAACCCCTCTTCAATCCCACCTCATATTGTGCAAAAATAGAACCACAAGCCCCAAGTATTTGTCAATTGCCGGGAATAGTGGCATCATTGATTCGATTATGTATAGCTAACAAAGTTGTCAACCCGTGGATTGACCCTGACCCGGTCGAGTTAGTGGGTCAAGGGTTAATGGGTCACCCTTTTAAGCCGGTTTAGCCCACAAATATGGAAATATTCATTATATTGTATTTATTCTGATAAATTATATCAAATCTCATCTAACATGTGAGTTATAACATATAATACACCAAAATAACATGTCGTACTTAGATCCAACATATAGTGAAAATTCACAAACACTTATATAACATAAATATTCAAATGTTCAACTTAGGATTCCAAAGATTGAGTTAGGCGAAAAGAAAAAGTCGATCGGACGAGTGCGTGCAGCCCGTTTTTCTCACTAGGCCAGGGTTTGAACTCAGAGGGGAAAAAAAAAACCCAGACACAATTCCTATCTAATTTTACGAGATGGATTCACGTACGATCCCCATCACCCCATGGAAACAAAAGAGTGCAATCCAGTAAGAGAGTTCAAATCCAAATGAATTTTGCCCAAAAAAACCAGACCACGTCCATAACTTATCAGCAACGCCACTAACAAGGAGAAGACTCCTTCCAAATTCTTACATTCTAACAGATCTGTCCATAAACGGATCCGACTGAGTGACATGCATGGTATCTCCACTTGAGTTTCTTTACTTTCTGGTTTAGAGACCCAACAAAAATAGATATGATTTACCCGGCGGAAACCAGCAATTTCGACGGAGGGATGACGCTGGAAGGAGGTGGAGAGACGAGAATTAGACCCACGGATCCAGATTCTTTGTCCTCTCCCATTAGCGGAGATGAAGTTGCAAGGAAGAAGAAGATGCCCCTCCAAGAAGAAGATTGAACTAATTAAATTACCTTCGGTTTTTTTTCTTCCCGTTTTTACTAAGGGGGTTTTCTCCAATTGATCATAGAATGAATGGAATTTTGGTAGTTTCCTCGGTACGATAAGAGATCGAGAGAGGCACAGAGAGACAGAGAGAGTTACGGTTGTTATACAAAAATTGATGGGTTTTCTTCAATTTGATCGACAAACAGGGGATACAATTTCCGTTCCTGGTGGACCCGATGATGGTGGAAGCTTTGGTCCTTCAAGAGGCAATTGTCTGGTGCCTGGCAAATGGATTCACTGAAGTTAGGTTTGAAGGTGATGCCCAGGTGGTAGTAGAGAAGATCCTTCGGAAGGATGTGCATGATACTCGGATTGGGGCAATTCTGGTGGAGATTGTCATTTTTTTTGCCTCCAATGAGGGTTTTTCTATACGATTTGTAGGTCGCGTAATAATAGGGTAGCTCATTTGGTAGCTAGACAGGCCCTGTCCTTGTTCTCGACTACGTGTCGTTCGTTTGATTTCCAGGCCTGGCTGAATTCCAGGATGCGCTGATCTATTTGTTTCAATCTATATATGATTATCTTTTGTCAAAAAAAAAAAATCGACAAACAGGGGAATATCAGAGGGACAGAAATATCCATGAATCGACAAACAGGGGAATATCAGAGGGACAGAAATATCCATGGAAACAATTATATTTAATTGTGAAAAAGGAAGAAACTACTATAATTGTATGGGGCGGGCTTGCAAAAAAATACCCAAAACCCATCCAAAAAGCCGCTGCGAAAGCGCGGCCACAAACGCACTAGTAATTATGAATTTATGATAAAGATGTCATTTTTATACATAAAGAAAATAAATGAGCACGAGAATCTATCTCATCACTCATCATGTCATTTAATCCACTGATGCTGCTGCTCAGCAGCTATCAGAAGGAGGGAAAACTAGATGGGTACCACCAAAGAACAGCTCACTTTCCCAGTTCCCCTGACCCTTCCTTCTCCATTCCCAGGCCCCCAACCGTAAAGTTTATGGTGCGATTATGATTGTCAAACCCGTTTATACCAATTTTATCAATTGTGATATAATGGAGATAGAAACAATTCTGTTAGCATGATGCTAACACTAAGGACTAAGGGTCGTTTGGAAGTTGCGATAGTTTTATTGAGATTGTTATTATGGATGTATTGTTTACAATGCATCGTTTTTTTGTTTTTTTAGCAGAAACAATACATGGATTGTTTCTGTGATGTGACAGAAACTATCACTCATTTTGAGTGATTGTTATATCTCAACTTTTAGTTGTGATTGTTGAGATAGTTGAGTTGAGATTGTTTTGTCTCAGCTTTAGCTTATGCGACATACACAATCACACATACCAAACGTTGTATTCTACAATGCATCAAATTCGACAATACATGTATAATATTATACATGCATTCTCAACAATACATCTATTTAAGAATCGCAACTTCCAAACGACCCCTAACACTAATTTTAATCAATAGAAACAATTCGTTTGGATGATTTTTTATTTAATGAAGGAGAAAGGGCGGAGGCGTACGCTAGTCATTAATAAAAATTGGGGAAAGGGAGAGTCACGTGTGTCTTGTATAATTAAATGGGTAAGAGAAAATCCTCAACACAAAATCCACCTCACAAATTCCACATCATAAATTCATACCACAAAATGCATACCACAAATTTATAGACCAAAGTTTCTTTAAGTAGCCCAGAAAGTTCTTTAACGAGTGACCTATTTGTATAATATACAAGATTAATGTGTATAACAAAGTTCCTTCTAACTTGATGGTGTATCATTGAAACTAATAATCATGAGATACTTTGTCCAAATCTCATAATTGGTGTTCATTTCTTAAGAACATGTGTAAAAAATACTAATATCCGATTTCAGGTCTAACTAGACAGTATTTTTAATTTTGACCAGTATTGACTGACTTTGACCAAGACTTGATATCGACCCCTTTCCAGCCGGTTTGATGATCGGTACCAGTTGTACACAAGTCATTTCCTTCGTGGATCTGAGTGATTGATTTGATACCCAAATCCAATCTATTATAGATTTGTGGGAAATTTATTGTTTGCGTGCATTTTTTATGAACCAAATTGGTGGAATTCATGAATTTTCATGATTCAAATTCGTAGACCTCTAGGACTTGTAAATCTCATGTATAAGCGTGAGAATTTGAACATAAATAGAAATTCAAGATAATCATTTACTTTCATATCCCATTCAAAATAAAAATGCATTTAAGTTAAGGATAGTAAAGTAATTTATATTTAAAAGCTATAAATCCATGACAAAAAGATGGCATGTTTAAGGATTAAGTGGCTATGAGAATAACTTTGATTTATTTTTCATCTTTTTGCACTTATTCTGAAAACAGTTATATAACAAAAGTTTAATACCCTAAAACTTATGTGCAAAACAAAACAATTGGAATAATTGGATGACAGAGCTGAAGTTAAGGTCGTCCCAAGTTACGAAAACACAAAATGACCATTTTGATGAAGCAAATAACCTTATTCGAAGATAAAAGTTTATCAGACCACCTTCGGTTATTACGAAGATCTCGAAAATAATGAAGGTTGCCGCATCCAAAATTTGAAAAACTTGAATGCCTATGATAGGTGTTCAAGTTCATATCCATATTAGTCATTATAGCGTAGTGATTCGATACACCGGGCTCCAAAACACACTACATCTACCCTTAGGGAGCTTCTCCAACCATGCTATGTTCATAAATGCTCGATCTAGTCTCCTAGCCCAATGCCCATAACGAAAAATAAGACGTTCGTCCAGAATAGTACAGGCGTCGGCAAATTGGTACCAGTGACTCGATGTTCATTGAAAAGACTGATAAGTGGTCGAGGCGCATATCCGTTGTAAGGTACAGTTCATTAAATGCATTGCTGACGTAGGACGGATAAGTGGGAAGCCTACTGAAATTACCCATTGTATAAATTGGGGGCAGTTGTATTTATTGAGTTTAGATCTCTCACTAAATAGCAAAAAAGAGACAATTCTCTCTAGAAACTCTCCTGACTTGATCGTCGGAGTACCAACAAGCTAAAAAGTTTTGATATACATCTCGTGCAAATATTGTGTGTTCGACTTATAGGCGGAGCTAGCCCTGTTGGGCATTCTCCCAGAATAGGGGTAAGATTTTAGAGAGGAAAATAATACCCATATATAATTATACTAATAATGGAATACAAAGGTAATATAAGGAATTTGTCATTACACCATAACTCATTACTTGTTTATAAATTGACATAAAATTAATTTATTATACTATAAGCGAAATCTCAATAGTATAAATACCTAATAAGATATATTTTTCTTATGCCTATTCCACTTTTTGCCCATCAACCCTTAAACAGTCCAGCGACAGTGACAATTCACTAATTTTGATTCTACCCATTGCAACTGTAAATATAGAAAGAATATTTAAGCTTTTGCCTATATTAAGAACAAACTTCTAAGTAGAATTCAACGTTTCTAATGGTTGTTTAATATATATTACATTGAATCGACTTACTTAAGAGTGTATACAATGAATGTCCTTGCATTTCTTTCCAAATATGAAAATAATGATGACATTAGTCGATTAATTTTTTATTTATAAATGAATTGTTTGGATATTTTTAGTTTTAATTATATTTATTAATTAAATATTTATATTCTGAAAGAACACAAGACTAGTTTCAAACTCCGCCTACGCCACACAACAGATAGGACGAAATGTGTTCAAAGAAGGAACTTAAAAATAACTCATTTGGACCAAAATAGATACTTTTGAGACTAACTAGTAATCGATTCGAGTACTGTATAACCTTCACTTCTTCGTCATCGTGCAGCAAGAACAAAATTAATCAATCGTGCGGCAGCCAGCAGCAAGGGGGACCTTTAATATGAAGTCAATTTTGAGGGTTTGCGACAGATAAATCGCATAAATTTAGTGACTAAAGTGATAATTTCCCTCCCCGCATCCACCGGCAACGCCGCAACTCTCAGCGGCTGCGTCTGTAATATTTTACGGCGAATACAGTGCAGCAGAAAGAGAAGTAAGGTGGAGTGGCCACTGACGTGAAGCGAAGCAAAGCAAAGCGGGAAGGTAGACCGGAGAGAAAGCACTTCACTGAAGGTTACTCATTTGCTACAGAGATAACCAAAACCCAATTAGAAGGGGGAAAACAGAGAGAAGAACACGAGGGATCGTTGCCTTCATTGCCGTAATCGACGATCCCCTGCCGTCTCCGCCGCTTCTTCTCCGATTGCTTCTTGCAGGTTGCTCTTCTTCTTCTGCTCCGCAATTCTGCTGGTAAGGTTTCTTCTCCAACGTCTTCGATTTCGCGTCTCGATGTTGGGTGTAGATGAGTCCTCCATTAGTTCCTCGGCTGCGGCTCCGTGTCTATGAATTCTCATCCCGTGCGTAGTAAATTTGGTCGGTTTTGTTGGTGATGTTGGTAGATTGCTTAGTTATAGCAATGCTGGAATTGAAGCTTTTTTCTGTTCCGGTTTCTCTGACCTTGTGCTGTGATGTTGAGTGACTTTTCAATTGTCATTGCCTGAATATGGGAAATGCTTGAACTGGAACAATGCCCAATCAAACTCGAGATGGTGGAAAATGCTTTCTTTAATGTTCTGGTTTTGGATTGTGACCAGTTTAGCTTTTTTCCGTGGTATGGATTTCTAGCTTTCAGGTGCTATGCCTGTTCTGTGATCTGCATGGTCTTTTGGTTGATCAACCTTGGGTTATAAACAGCTGCCTATGTTTCTTAATTCCTTGGTTGATGCATTCATCTCCTTTTTTGCCACAATGCCTCACCTCCCTTCTCCATCCACATCTTTGGCATGCATACCTTGGGGCTTAGGCAGGAGGGAGATTTTATTTTTCTTCTGTCAGCCATGATTAGAACACTTCAATTAACATCATATATTTTTTGTTCTTGCGTTTGAAATTTCTCTTACGATGGACGATACATGATGCTAACCTCTTGATGGTGGGGATCAGTTTGCAGCAACCAGCTCATATGGGTCGAGAGATGGGACTCAGAAATCTGGGAAGTCATCTGTGTTTTCTCTGTTCAATCTCAAAGAGAAGAGTAGATTTTGGAGCGAGGCTGTTATACGCAGTGGTATGTTCACTACACACTTCTTCACACTTCCACTTATTCTCCCTGTTCAGGGAATGATTTATTTTACTTCGGTGAAGCAGATTTTGACGATTTGGAGTCCTCAAACTCTGCCAAAATGGGGCTAATGAATTACACCAAGGCAGGCAATTCTCTTTAATTCTTACCAACGTGCTTCTGTATAGTGTACATGCATATCCTATGACATCTTGTACTGTTTATAACCGCAAATATCCAGCTAAATGCACTTTCCCATTTCTTCCTCTCATTCTCAAATTAAAGCAGTGTGGGTCATTCTTCTGGTGGAACATGCTTGCACATGATTATTTGTTATGTTGACATTGCATATGTTAGTTGTCTCGATGGAAGGCAGACTGTTTAGCTTCCCAGGTAATACTGTGTAGTGAAAATATTACCTTCCGATAGATGCAAGTAACATATGATGGAGTGTGAGATATTCTTTTGGTGATAAAGAAATGAATGATTATTGTGAAATGACTTTAAAGGGTAAAATAGATTCTCATTTTCGGAGTAAAGTTGGAAATATATATTGATGAATGATGTAATTTCTATAAATTAATAGGCTGTAGCTCCACACTATGAATATTAGTTGTATCTAGAGTATTAGATATAGAGTTGAGAGCTATCTTTGTTTAAGCTGTGTCTATAACTTACTTTTTACCGAAGGTAAAACAAGTGCATGATGTCCTGGTTGTATTTGAGATCGATGTGATAATTTTGTTGCTGGTTGAAGAAATGGCATCTAACATTTTCTTATACACTTCGCATTTCAGGAAATATTGCGAATTATCTAATGATTCAAGAAGTAGATGCTATGTACCTACCAGTCCCCGTAAATTTCATTTTTATTGGATTTGAAGGAAGTGGGAATCGAGGTTAAAGGCTTACCATTTCTTTCCTTGGACTATCTATATTAAGCTCCTTGTTCATGTTCTTGTTTTCCTGTTCACTTGATAATTTGGTGAATTCATAGGTTATACGATGGAATCTGATTTCTTTTTGATTTAGATTTCAAGCTCAATCCAGATGAACTGGAGCGTTGGTTCACCAAGATTGATCATATCTTTGAACATACACGAGTACCTCAGATCGGAGAGGTTCTTACTCCATTTTACAAAATCAGTGTTGACAAAGGTCAACGACATCATCTTCCCATTATCAGTCACATAAACTACAAGTAAACCCTCTATAGTGACTCCTTTGTTGCTTTTTGTTGTTTTTTCTAAATTTTCTCTATTGGTGTGCTTGATTTGGTGTCGACTCTGATATCTGACTTTGATCCTTCAGCTTTTCTGTTCACGCCATTGAAATGGGTGTAAAGGTCACTTCAATCATTGAACATGCCATAAATGTTTTGGCTCGCAAGGATGACATTTCAAGTAACAGGTTAAATATACCCCTGAGTCTTGTTCCTATCTTTGCACTGCTTTTCTGAAGCTGAAATTCTGACATGCTGATGTTATATATTCAATAGCTTCTGTAGGATCTGAATTCTTATGCGAATTTAATGACTGGTCATTTCATGCTTCATGTAGACTCTGATTGTCGACTGGTAGTAGTAAAGCAGGTACCTAGGGGATTATATAGCATTCTTAAAATCATGCATATATGTATGGTCGTTAAAATATGCAATTCTCATGAAGCTACAGCCAACTGCTAAAATTGTTGTCTTCATCTGCTTAAACTTAGTTGTGGGAGTGGATAGTGAGAGAGGAGTCATGGTTCATGAGTATGCCGATTTGCAGCTTTATGAATTAGGAATTGGGAGAAGACGGAAATCAGATGCATTTCTCTAACAATTGCATATTGGATCTACTTATGCCTTATGGTTTTTGTTCATTTACACAGGGATGAGAAGGATGCCCTTTGGCAAGTTGATATGGATCTGATGGATGTTATTTTCACAAGCCTTGTTGAATACCTGGAACTTGACAGCGCTTATAACATTTTCATTTTGAATCCCAAGCATGACCTGAAGAGAGCTAAATATGGCTATCGGTGTGTAATGCTTGTTATGCTTTTTTTATGAATTTGTATGGTAACAAGGTTAGCAAACTGGCTGCCTTTGTGTCCATACTGTTCTTCACTAAATTGGTGTTTTCAATTTAAGTTTGGCATTATGTATAAGTTTATCCTGTTCGTGTCTTTCTTTTTCTTGTTTTTCCCCTTCTTAATTTGGATTACAGGAGAGGTTTATCATGGTCAGAAATCGATTTCCTGAAAAAGGTTTGTCTTTTGTGTTCTATTTAAGCCTCTTGTTATTTTCTTTATTTATTCTTTAACGGGTTTGTGTGTTACATTCTTGTTTGCATCATCGGATCATTTCATCTAGAATAAACGTGTCAGACAATGCAGAGAAGATACAAGTTTTTTTTTTTTTTTTTGGAGGGGGGTGGGGGGGAACAGACATAACATGAGGAGCTCTTATCAAATGCAGAACCGCTTGCTTTAAACTCTGTTCGATGATCTATACTTTCTTTTTCAGGATGAAAATCTACAGACTAAGATTTTGGAGTCTGGAACTGTTCCAGAAAGTGTCCTTGGTAACTTCTGTCATTGTGTCCATTTCCATTCAGAGGTGCAATATCTCTTTTTATGCTTCTTAAATTTTGGAATTATCGGATTGTAATCTGCAGCATTCGAAAAGATCAAGAGACCTTTATATGAAAAGCATCCTATGCCGAAATTTGCTTGGACAGTTGTCGAAGATACTGATACGGTCTGTGTTCTCTCTGTTTATCTTGTGAAACTGGCACTTATGTCTTTTTCTGTCTACATTTACTTATATTAGTCATTTCATGGACAAATGCATAAAATAGGTAAGATCATGGTGAACTTTCTATCATGTTACATTAGACTACTGTTTTATTGACCTCAGGCTGAATGGTATAACAATTGTCTGGATGTGCTCAATAATGTTGAAAAACTGTACCAAGGGAAAGACATTTCTGAAATCATCTTGAGCAAAGCTTTGCAGGTTAGCAACCTCCCCTCTTTGCCTATTATGAACCTTTTCCCCCAGAAGCTGGAGGGTCCTCTACGTGTGTTGATTCTTTGATGATTACTGATTATTGTCTCTGGATATCCAGCTTTTGGAAGGAAAGAATAAATACATGAAGCTTCTTTTGAAGAAGGAACTAAAAGCTGGGGACCTTGCTGGATTTCAACCAGAATGTCTCACTGATACCTGGATCGGGAAGGACAGGTGGCAAAGTCTTTCTCTTGTATACTGATATGCATGTCCACATGGAAATCGTAGAGACTGAATTATTGTTGCTTTCTGCACCAGGTGGGCGTTCATTGATCTATCCGCTGGCCCTTTCGCATGGGGTCCTGCTGTTGGTGGGGAAGGTGTTCGTACAGAACTTAGTCTTCCAAATGTGGAAAAAACAATTGGTGCTGTTACAGCTAATAAAATGTCCCCCCTCCAGGCTCCAGTTTGCTGCTAACATCTTTGCTAACGATCGAATAAGGAGTAACTAGCTATAACTATCACACTGTACTTTGAGTTGAACTGTCAGTTGCATTTATTGGTATTGGTATTAAATGCACATTGGTTGCTGTATACTCTAGTATGCTTCTCCAAGTTCCTTCTCTCCCTTTTCTTCAATCTATTTGCTTAATATTATCGGTTTGTTCTTGCAGAATTGCAATCTGTTTGTGCCAGTGCTTCTTTTGCAGTTGTCTCTTTACAGTGTATTTAATTTCTCTGCTGTAATCCAGAAATTTCTGAAGATGAAGCTGAAGATCGCTTGCAAGAAGCAATCCAGGAAAAATTTGCAATATTTGGTGATGTATGTGATTTATTGAATAAGAATTTTGGTAGCAGTTTGTTTTCCTGAGTTCAAACGTCAACCCTAACTCTTTGAGAAAGTAGTAACTGATTCACTATTGCCAATTCTAAAAACACTGCATGGGTGATTGCTAAATTGAAAAGGGAATTATGTGGCCCAGCTTATTGGTTCAATTCTGGTGGAGGAAATATCATTTGAACTATAAGATAAAAGATCTGACAAACTTACCTCCGAGTGCTAACATATTTAATGTTTGAGTGCACCCTTGCATGTGTGCGTTTGTGTGCCTTGTATTCACTTTCTCCACAAGATGTTCTTATATTCAGTTAGAAATCTTATGAATTTCTTTTTTAGCTATCTGAGCCTGTTAATTTTTCTTGAATGTTGCAGAAAGATCATCAGGCGGTTGATATCCTTCTTGCTGAAATTGATATCTATGAGCTTTTTGCTTTCAAGCACTGTAAAGGAAGAAGAGTTAAGCTAGCACTTTGTGAAGGTTTGTTTCTTTTATATCTGTAAATTTGCTTAAGCCTGAGTTTTTTCAATGAAATGGCTGCCAAACTGCACTGTCATAAAATTTTAAGTATAATATAGTTGATTGGCTTCATGCTGCGTTGATATTGTTTTATGATCTATCTTATGTCTGTGGTCTCAGAGCTTGATGAGAGAATGAGGGACTTGAAAAATGAACTTCAGTCCTTAGAAGGTGAAGAAAATGATGAGAGCCCTAAGAAGAAGGCCATGGAGGCATTGAAACGTATGGAAAACTGGAATCTTTTTAGCGATACCCAGTAGGTATGTTGATTTGGCTTTTAATGAGGCATTTTACAATGTAATCTATTCTTTGCTTTAGATTCAATGTCTCCACCATGCTCTGCTGCCAAAGTAGCACAACCATTGTGTTACTTTTATTAAGATTCTTTTTATAAAAATAGTTGTGATGAAGTTAAGAGAATTGGTACATATATATATCTGTTTTCACAAACATGAGCTTAGGCGGCAGGTGAGTAAAAATTTGATTCGAATCGTTTTTAAGTAAACAAGTTTGACTTGTGTCGGCATCTTATTTTTGTGCTCTGTGAGCGGTGAAGCTGGTGAGCATAAATTCAAAATATATTGTCTTTGCCAGATGAACCCATGCTATTGTTTTCTCGTTTGTGCAGCATTCTTAGTACTTTTAATGTTAAATTAAAAAGTTAGTGTCAGTATTTCATGTAAAAATGGAGTTCGGTCTTGTTAATTGACTGTGCTACCCTTTGCTTGTCTGTGTGAGTTGCCTTCCTCATCTCTCTAGACTGGCAGTGCTTTAGTTTGCTGTTATATATTAGCAGGATGCTTTTGCTTCAAGTAGTAGCATTCTCTGATGTTCTACATTACTTCTGCGAACAGGATTTCCAGAACTACACTGTTGCACGAGATACATTTCTTGCACATTTAGGTTCAACTCTTTGGGGATCAATGAGACACATAATATCACCTTCAATTGCTGATGGTGCATTTCATCACTATGAGAAGATATCATTCAGTTGTTCTTTATAACACAAGAGGTATGGCATGCGTTTTATACCCTGTCAAGGAGGTTCCTTGTTGGATCGAGTTTCGTCTTAATACTTTGCTATTCACGCAGAAAGTTAGGACCATTAAACAACTCCCTGTGGATCTCAAAGCTATCATGGATGGGCTATCATCTTTGTTATTACCTTCGCAGAAACCTATATTCAGCCCAAACTTTTAAGTACTTGCTTTCGAAAGATTAAATTTCTCAAATTGCCCTTGCATAAATCCATGAGTCTGTATGGAATAAAAGCTACCCAACCACTTTGTTCTCTATTGGTTTGTCTTAATTTCATGTGATAGAAACATTGCTTCTGTGTTTTCTAATTCTCTAGCTGGATCTAGGTTATCACTTTCAGAGGATCCTGCTTTAGCCATGGCTTTTTCAGTGGGACGACGAGCTGCAGCTGTCCCGCTCTTGCTTGTGAATGGAACTTATAGGAAAACCATTCGGACATATCTTGACTCCTCCATTCTTCAGTATCAGTTGCAGAAGCTGAATGACCATGGTTCTCTAAAAGGTGATCTCTCTCCACTCAAGTTCTTTTGATATGCCAATTCTATAATAGACCATTGTCACCAAACTGACTATGGATGGATTGAAGATAATCTGATTAACCTATGAAAACAGGGCCTTAGAACCGAAGGAACTAGAAACAAAAACATGCAACTCCATTGATGATGCAGAATCAACCTTATATTTTTCCTTCTCATCACTTACACAAGTCAAGTCTATTCTTATCCCCAACTTCAATAATGCAGGAGCACATGCCCATACCAGATCTACACTTGAAGTTCCCATCTTTTGGTTTATTCATGGAGAGCCATTATTAGTTGACAAGCACTATCAGGCAAAAGCGCTTTCTGATATGATCGTTGTTGTTCAGTCAGAGCAATCATCATGGGAAAGTCATCTCCAGTGTAATGGGCAATCACTCCTGTGGGACTTGAGGTTAGACAAAGGATTATTTGACTTTTACAATGAAGCAATTCTCAAATAGATGCTTTATCTTCGACACATCTTCTTGGTTCTTGTTTCCTTGTCATTACTCAGAAGACCCATTAAAGCTGCTCTCGCTGCTGTTTCTGAACATCTGGCCGGCTTACTTCCTCTTCATCTGGTCCACAGCCATGCACATGACACTGCAATTGAGGTATATATGTTTGGATTGTTGAAGTGTTTCGGTTTATGGCGTGGCTATTTTCTGCATGCTGACATCAGGAAGAACAAATTTTCACCATTAAGCATCCCTTAACATTCCAACGTTTAAATATTTTACCTAATGGTATGATACCTTGGAATTTCAAATGTTTCACATTTCCATTATAAAATGCAAGGCATTGTAGTATTGAACTGTAGGCATCCATGCTACCTTTGCTTCACATGTGCATAGAAGATTTTGCACCTCTAAGCATACTTTTGAGCACACTCATGAAGTGGAGTTTCCTGTCCTGTTAAAAGCGGTTAGTGCTATATTTCTGATTTGCTGTACCCGTAAACTCACAGGACTGGATATGGTCAGTAGGATGCAATCCATGATCCATTACATCTCAAGGCTGGGATATCTCACAGTTCCATTTGGATACAATTGCACGGAGTTACATAATCACCACCCTTGAAGAGTCTCTACAACTAGTCAATTCTGCAATACGCAGTCTACTCATGGAAAGGACATGTATCCTTTGGTCACTGTTTACTGCTGTTTTAAAACTCGGTTTTATGTGTGGATTTGGAGAAGTGTATTTTTTTAGTGCTCTTATTATCCATTTGTCTGTTGCTTCTGCTGAAAAGACTTTAACCTGAAACAGCTAAAAGTACATACAAGCTCTTCCATTCTAAAGAGAAAGAACTTGTGAACAAGTATAATAATGTTGTCGGTTTGTGGAGAAGGGTGAGTATTCCTTGATACTAACTTATCTGAATTTGCATTATCATTGTCACTTTTTGAAATATCAGTTGTTGACTCGTCGTGATATCTTGCCCTTGCATTTCAGATTGCAACTGTTACTGGAGAACTGCGTTATGTGGATGCCATGCGACTTCTTCTTACCTTGGAGGATGCAACTAAAGTGTAAGTCATTTCGACTGCTGAAACTTATATCCTTATTGATTCTGGTACTGACTTGTCTAATTAAGGGTTTGTGCCACTGCTAGCTCTAGGTGACATTTCCCCCCCAGCTCAGTAGTTCTGTTCATATTCTTTGAGATATGGAGATATGATTTCCCAAAGTATTGGCTTTCTGCTCAGTGCTCACCCCACTTGGAGCCCTTTATCTGGCTAAATTAAACTTAGGGTGTGTTTGTTTTAGCTTTTGCTTAGAAAAGTGACTTTTTTATAGTAAAAATGAAGGGAAAGTGTGTTCTGTAAGGCTTTTGTTGATATGATATATTTTTAGTGATAAATATAATTGATGACGAGAGGTAGTTTCTTTAATGAGAAGAAGAAGCAAGTTGTCTTGGTCTAGTGTTGTTTCTAAGCTGTAGACTGGCGTTGCTGGTGCAGGTTTTCTGAGCAAGTGAATGCAACTATTGCTCTTCTGCATCCAGTTCACTGCACAACAGAGCGGAAAGTGCATCTGGTTTTCGACATGGCAACCATTCCTGCTTTCCTTGTTGTTGCTGGTCTTCTGTATGCCGTGTTGAAGCCAGGACGGGCCAAGCCTAAGATTAACTAACGGAAAGATCACGGGGCGTCCTCGTCTTCTGAAGCATATCATCTTGGGATGGGGGATCGATCATTTGAATTGGACACACCTATCCCTAACACAGGTTTCACTATATACACACCTTCGATCATTTTCGGTTTAATGCTACCATTGTCGAGGCTGCCGGTTAAAATTTGTCCAAGTGAAATAGGATTTTGTAGAACGTAGCCATAAGTTAGATGATGTAACCAGATGGAGAGAGAGAGAGAGAGAGAGAGAGTAGTTTCTGATGATGTTAGTTAGCAGCTGGAAGAAATTTTGCAGATTAGAAGTTTCTGTTCGCATAATTCAGCTTGGTTGATATGTAGCCATAGAGGTTTCTATTATCAACTGGATTTCTTTATTGTTTCTAGTATTATTCATCCAACTGAAAGCGGAAACTAGGTTTTTTTCCTGTTGTGTACCCTTATACCCTGTTCACTTTCATTTTCGTTTCCTGTTTTCTGTTTTCATGTCATAAATTTGGCAACAGAAACGAGAAAACTTGTTTACTTTTCATTCGGTTTTCTATTCGTTTCCAATTATGAAAACAGAAAGTGGCAACTTCCTGCTGTTTTCGGAAACGAAAAAATGTTGTTTTCACCTGTTTTCAACATCTGTTTTCTCAAAAACAGGAAACAGAAATGAAAGTAAACAGGCCCTTAGTATCAAAATGTCACTAGATTTCGGGGTCGAATTTGCGATGCAACTTTTCAATGCTTAAGCAACGCACTTGGATTGGAACGTTAACAATGGCAAATTATTGAATGAATTTCTTGTTATGACATTACTATTGACGAAATCTCGTTATTTTTTATACCAACATCTACCTTCCTAAATGTATTAAGTTCCTAATTAGTGGAGCATTTACAGAAGTGATGTACAGATGAAATACAGCTAAGTTGGTATTTTTTTTACACAGGAAAGAATCAACCAATCGCCACCACTCCAGAAGCAGCTAGCTAAAAGCCCCAGGAGACTGACCTACTAAAGAGCTCTGAAGCAAAAACTTTCCTTTGCCTCCTGCATCATACTTGTCTACATTCCCACCCCAGCTAACTCGCTCGCACTCTCTCCTAACAAGAAGTCGCAGAGTTCTAGAAGCTGATCAGCTAGAGGTGGGATGCCAGGGTTTCGCCCGTCATTGCATTTGTGGGCATTGAAAGCGATCTGCCACACGTCGCGTCTGAACTCCTCTTTGTTCTTGTACTCCATCTTCCTCACCTTTTCCTTGATCGTCGCAAGATCCATCGGCCACTCTAATATTCTAGATTTGCTCATGGTCCACAACACCATGCATCAAATCATATAATCTGATTCCACAGTACTCTGTCATACCGGTTAAACTGCATACCAAAGACCAAACTGACACGGTTATATTGCCTCTTATTACGGTTTTACCAATATATATTTGGACTATCAACAACTTCACTAGTTCAGTTTCCCACAAGGTTCACAAAGATTGATATTGCAGACTCAATTTGGTCAGGCATTTCAAACATTGTGTAGTTGGGAAGCTGAAGTAAGACCAAAGAAGTTTATTTAAAATCCATACAGGGAGCACATCCAGCTTAAATCAACACAAAAAGCATGCATAGCCAGCTGAAGAAGGAGAGAATCCTTTTTCCCAGAGCCAACAGCATTTGCCAGCACAACGGCAGTTGGACTAAAGAGGGATGAATAGTAGAATCACATACACAAACTTAGGAAGGAAATCATGTTGTGAATAAAGAGGGATGAATAGTTTTACCACACTGCAATTGAATCCTTTTGAAAATCACAATGCTGAATTCGCTACGTATTTACACTCCAGAATGGAGCACAAATGTAGCAAACTTTCCACTTTAATTAGAAGCAGTATTACCTGCAGCATAAGTAGATGTGTTTGAGGATTTGAGTGACAACTGAAAGTTGAAACATGTGATTAGCCACAAACAAAGCTTAGAATGTATTCAATAAATCACCCGAATGCTAAAACAATCCCTACATTTATTCCTGTATAGTCTTCATGCTCGACGACAAAGATCTTGTTGCAATTGTGACTTAATCTTTCTGAGATTGGCAAGTACGTCATTGATGGCCAACCTATCCCTTGGTGTATCAGCACAACATTCTAACGCCAGTTTCATAATTGAAGATATGCAACTTTCTCTAGACTTAAAATCCCTATTACTGTTGCAATTTAGTAGATTTGCATCAGCATACTTCGTGACTCCCTCGGGCACTAATGTCGTAACCCATTGCTTCATGCTCATCCCCTCTTGAAATGATTCTTCTGTCGGGTTTCTTCTAGTGAACACTTCCATCACAAGAATTCCAAAACTGTACACATCGCTCTTTGTCGACACTATTCCGTCCATGCCAAACTCTGCAGTGCATTAAACAGCTTGCATGTGAAATCAATAATCCTTTGTGGTTACAATATAAGGGCAAAATTCTTAACATGTAATATGGTACCTGGTGCCATGTATCCAATTGTAGCAAGAGTCAATGTTTGTGTCATGGAATCCCCGCTTCCAATGAACTTGGAAATGCCGAAATCAGCTAGATGAGCAACGAGATCTCCATCCAACAATACATTACTTGGCTTCAAATCACAATGAACAACTGGAATGGAATAACCTTGATGGAGATATTCAAGAGCCGATGCAACATCGATCAAAATGTCCAACCTCTTAAAAATGTCGAGAAAGTAGTTGTGTGAATATAGCCACTTATGCAAGCTCCCGTTAGGCATGAACTCCAATACCAATGCTTTGAAACCAGTCGTGTAACAAGTGCTGATAATTTTAATGAGATTTCTGTGGCGGAGATTTCGTAAAACTTCACATTCAGTATCATTACCAAATATGTCATCATCATCATCATCATCAGCTTCTCCTTCCAATTCATTAAACACCTTTATCGCTACATTGGTGTCATCAGCTAGAACACCTTTGTATACACGACCAAAGCTTCCCTTTCCCAATAAGTTACAGTCGTCAAATCCATCAGTAGCTCGTTGAAGCTCGAGCAAGGAAATCCTTCTCCATGTTAGTGAAGCCAATAATTCTTCCTTCACCTTGTTCCTCTCTTCCGAGCTCTTTTTTCGGCGGCGTAACATTACTGTCAAAGTGAAAGCAACAATTGCTAGTGACAAGACGATCGAAACCACAACTGCAATTAGTAACTTGTCAAAGTGCTTGTTGTGTCCTTGTGTGCATTGTTGCACTCCAAATTTGGGTAAGCCACACAGGTCAGGATTCAACAAGAATGATTCCGAAGACATATTTGCAAAAGGCCCACCATTTGGAATTTCTCCCCATAACCCATTTTGAGAGACATTGAGTTGTTTCAGATACCTCAATGACTCCATGGTTTTGGGGATAATACCAGTGAGATTATTAGCTGACAAATCCAAGAACTCGAGGCTGACCAAGTTCCCAATGGCTTCAGGAATCGGACCTTGGAAATTATTCAGTGCAAGAGACAAATTTTGTATGTTTGTAAGGCCTCCGATACTTGCTGGAATGTCGCCTGATAACTGATTTCCTGATAAATCCATAGAGATCAAGTCTTTGAAGTTTCCAAGTCGTGGAGATATAGAACCGATCAGATTGTTTCTGGCTAGACTGAAGTCCAACAAGTAGGTGAGATCCCAAAATGATGAAGGTATCACAGAGCTTAACATATTGAATCCCAAGTAGACTTCTCTTAAGGAAGTCACATTGGGGAAGCATTCTGGGATTTGTCCAGAGAAATTGTTGTCCTCCAAATTCAAACCAAACAATGATGGTAACTCACATAGTTGATTCGGAATGACTCCATGTAACTCATTGTGATTAAGGCTCAAGGCTTGAAGCTTCTTCAGTTTATGTATATTCCGTGGGATGGACCCCGTCAATCGATTGGATGAAAGATCGATTTCAACTATGTTGCTCAAGTTTCCTAGTTCACCTGGAATGTTGCCTTGTATCTTGCAGTTAAATACAAGAAAATACTGCAAAGACGAGGAGAGATTCCCCATGGAAGGTGGTAATGCTCCCTCAAATGACGTCTCTGTGATCTCCAAGCTTTCCAAACTCTTGCATGATGTTAAAGAAGTGAGGAAAGACGGATCTACCACTAGATTACTATTACCCCCAATGTCAAGACGTTGGAGCATTTGAAGATTGCCAAATGTATCGGGAACACTGCCGGAGAATGAATTCCTTGCAAGTGCCAAAAGTTCAAGTTTAGAAGCATTGGAGATGGACGGTGGGATGCTTCCATTGAGGTTATTGACCTCAACACTAAGCCACTCCAAATTTGGAAGGTGCGAGCCTAATGTTGGTGGGAGATTTCCTGATAATTCATTATCAGTAAAACTCATTGCCAACATGGATGAGATGTTGAAGATTGTCCATGGAATTAAGCCACTTAATCTATTTTGATCAAGGGCCAACTTTTGAAGAGCATTTAGATAACCCAACTCCAAAGGAATTTCACCTGCAACATATCAATCAATAAACGTAGTTCTCGTAAAGTATTCCTTCAAATTGTTAAGTAATATACCAACAATTGAAGGGGTACCATTAGTATTCCATAAATAAATAAAAAAAATTATGATGCTTTTCCATTGGTTTAAGAAAGAGAACTATGTTAAACTATTGTTTAGTGTGAATCTAACATGAATTAGCAATCAATTATGCGCAGAGGGTTATTTCTTTTGGTTTTGAGATAAAATACTAACAATGTGCGTGTACGTGGAGAGAGAGTTGAATCACAATTCACAACTGAAGCATTTAGCGTATGAAGGAATCAATTGAGGGTGATCAGATAATAGCACAACACATATGCAGGTGTTATTTGGAAATTCATCTGTAAATATTTGAAGAATCATTTTCATTAATTAACTTTTGAATTTCACCAACAATTGCGAAGTGGCATCAAAATTACAACGATTTTAGAATCCATTTCATAGCTAGGCAGAACAACCGGGTAACCTATTTGTGGCTAGAAAAACCATTTCTTTGTTTCATACAAATGTGTTTGGTTTTGATTTCTCTTCTTGGTTAAGGACTAAGCTATAAAGTATTTATCTCTTTTCGTGATAATGTAAGTGAGTTTTTGGCAACAACAAAAAAAGTCACCCCTATGAACTATTGTCCTATATATGTCATTAAAGAGTATAAAAAAATGTCTGGTTTAGCATTTGAGGTTCTTGCTTTCATATCTTCTAAGTCTGGAAAAAAATAGAGAGAGATTTTAGATCTCGACGTTGTTTTTGTTAATATTAACAGAATGTCAAGTGAAAAATTCATTAACACCTTCCAAAAAGTTAATCCTAACGCCATTGAAGAGTGACCTCAAAAGCAAGTTTCATGGCGTGCCATGAGGCCATGCTCTTCTCGCGACATCTCAAATTATATTTGTGCGGTGATGCTCGCCAGTTCTCCAATAATATATGATAGAGTTTTGTGTATTTTTGTCCATTTCAAATTAGCTTGTGTCCGGCCTGTTGGCCAGAAATTTCGACTTGTCACAATCAGGTTTATTGAACCATTATCTAAGATCAAATTAATATGTTTATGTTGTGGCTGGTAACAGTTTTGTAACTAATTGTGGCTTGTAATAGTTTTTTGTAATTGGTACAGTACTATTTAGGCGCAATGTGGTATGGAGAAAACTATAGATACCTAGACAAAAGCAGGAATGAAAAGAACGACCATGGTGAAAATAGGCTTAGCATTGTCCATGAATGCTAATTCGCTTAAGTAGCGAAAATTAAGCACCAACACAACACTAATTTCATAAAAAATTATCATCATTTCTGCTCATGGGCCAGCCATATAGGCGCTAGTAACTAAGAATTACACTCTGTTTTCTTCGGATTGCCTTAGCAAATGAAGAATTGACTTTATGTACTTGGTGTTTCAAGGCTGCATACTGTTTTGTTTATAATATGTTATTTTATTAAATATGGATGTAAATTTTAGAGAGATTATATTGAGATGGGTTATATATATGCATAATTCATTTTTTTCGACTTTTTCTATATATTTTGGTAAAACGGGCATAAGCTAACATAAATCAGTCATATTTTGGTCGGATCATTCCATTTACTAAACTATCATCACGATATAAATCGGGTTTAACAAAAAAAATTATGAGTCATAATAATGCAAGGGTAGATATTAAATTTGTTTAAACTGCCCAGTTTCGAATCTAATAAGTGTTTACTTAATAAAAAAATAAGCTCGTTTGGAGAATTGGAGTTTAAATCTATAGATTCTAGACAATCCAAAGAATTTAACTCTGTGGATTGTTGAAAAAAGATTTGAAAATGTTTATTGTTTGGTAATTACGATTGTTAACATCCAATGAAAAAAGAAATTCTATTTTTTTTATTACATGACTTGTTTATCCTTAACCAAAATAATTAGATTGGTCGAAAAATATTGAGAATTTATTGGTAAGGGTATTTAGTGGGATAAATGAAGAAAAAAATATACTAGGAGAGAGAAAATCTCCAAAATCAAGATCTAGAATCTCTCTAATTATGAGAGATTTTATATCTATAGATTTTAGAGATTTAAAATCTTTGTAGCTACAATCCATGATACAAAAAGTAGCAAGTAAAGTTCAACTACAACAGGTGAAGGGAGAGAAGAGGGAGTTGGTGAGGGTAGCGATCGAATTGAGGGGAGTGGGAAAGACATGGAAGCAAAACTGGAGTAGCTGATGAGAGAGAACTGAGAGATTATGAGGATATTAATGAAAATGGAGAAGGTATTGAAAGGAATGGAAGTGGACTGGAGCAGGTGAAGGCAATCAAGGAGTATATGAGAATATTGATGGAATTGGAGATGAGGGTTGGTTTTACCGAGCTTATTAAAACTACCCCTAAGGAAGATAAGTTGACCAAATGAATGAAGAGGATTTAGGAGTTGAAGAGCGAGTTGCAAAGAACCACAATTGGAAGGATAAATTGAGGGCCACTGAGAGAAGGTCCATCTTGAGATTGAAGATAGACGGTATAAGAAGTTGGTTGTACAACGAAGAGTGGTAGCTATTGGATCTTTAGGTTTATGATTGCAGCCAGCTACCACAACCTATGTCTATCTTAAAATGAGTAATCATTGATTGACCTACTGAAGTTAAGATCAATTCTCTATTCAAGCTACTAGAACTGGTAGATAAGGAGCGTCTAATTTTGTGTCTTATTACTTTGATCGAGTCTATTAGTATATTTGAGATAACCTAATTTTTTCATTTCCTCTCACATTTTGATTGTCTCCTTTTAGTTGAGCTGTTAGTATATGGTTGACTTGAATCAACAACTCTCTCTTTTTTATTAGTGGCATGTTCTTCCTAGAAGGAGAGCATGAACCCATTATATAGGATTATAAGATTTTAGTATTAGTTTCCAATTATGTATGGGTCATGTGGGAATTGCAGTGAGCTTTTATACTCTATCTTTCTTGACAATCAATTAACCAATATAATTTTAATGGGGCTTAATTATCATTATGAAATGGGAATGATACATTTTTATATTTTATATTCTTAAAATGATGATAGTATTTCTCCAAATGTTCGACCTATACAATCGGTATTTATGTATCATCTCGATCAAAGGATTTTCAATAAAATTAAACGGATTGATAAAGTTAAACATAACATAAAAATATAAATACTCAAATATGAACATTCCGTTCAACCGGCCAGGTTATAAGTTAGTTAACTCAACAAAGTTCAAGGCAGATGGTTATTGTAGTTGACCTTAGGCCCGACCCTGTCTTATAAATAAAATGTGGCTCAATCTTTTCTCACGAGGCATAGGCCATGACGATAGTCTCACGCTCGTCCGCCGCACCACGAAACTGACACCGTCACCAGCTCCAGCTGATGCCTACCAAGATGGAAGAGCGCAATAGCGCTGTTTCGAAAGAGAAGGATGCATTGTGGTTTGGTTTGAAACAGGTTTAATTGCAAGGATGGTCACTGGGTTTACTAAAACCGTTCATGTTTGGTCACTGCAAATATTTAATTCCATTCATGGTCACTAAGATTAGTTCAATAGTTCAAGTTTGGTCACTCTCCGTTAGTCTTCGTTAGTTTTTGCTGATGTGGCAGTCAACTATTATAGTTGACTGTTAAATGAGTGACGTGGCCATTAAAAAAATAATAAAATATAAATATTTACAATTTCCACCTCATTTTGCAACTATTAAAAATAAAACTTACCTCCTCCCCAACGGCGTCACCACCACGGATCTCCGATTCAACGTCCTCTCCTCCAACTCCTCCCCCGCATTCACGCTCTTCGCGCCCCTGACCGCTTCCTCTACTCTCTCGGCATCTCCCCGCGCCCCGCTACGTCCGCTCCCTCCTCCGCCACATTTCCATTCCGGTCCAGGGCCAAAAGAAAATGGGGAAAGAACGAGCAATGGAGGAGGGAGAGAAAAAGAAGTTCACTCGGATTGCAAGGCCAATGTTCGGGAGCCGAATGGGGAACTGGAGACCAAGAAGCGAAAGAGACGAAGAGGGAATTGCTGAAAGGGGGTCGTTGAATTTGTCCACAAGCTCAATGTCCTTGGAGAGCAAGACGGTCATGGCGCCAACGTCTCCGAAGACGCCTTCTCCCAAAACTGCTGTCCCATTTTTCGTCGCCGCCACAGTCATCTTCGCCTGCACCTTCTGCTGGGATTGCAATTCAAAATCCATCACACTACTTGGCAAAATCTCTGCCTCTTTCCTCAGGAAAAACAACAGCGAACAAACAGCAAAAAAATTTCTATGAAAAAAAGATCTCAAGCTTTTTTTCTTCCTTTGGCGTTTGAGCTGTTTCTGATGACACAAAAGAAACAGAGAAGAGAAGTAGCCAAAGGAGAGAAGGAGGATGCCTGAGCAGTAGAAGTGGCGCGAGGGTGACAGTGCGACGACGACTTCGGGGACATTGACGGAGGTCGGAGGAGGAAGAACGGACGGTAATTCGGAAAATTCCAGAAAAGAGATCCGTGGTGGCGACGGCCTTGGGGAGGATGTAAGTTTTATTTTTATTTTTAATAGTTGTAAAATGAGGTGGAAATTGTAAATATTTAATTTTTTTTTTTAATGGCCACGTCACTCATTTAACGGTCAACTATAATAGTTGACTGCCACATCAGCAAAAACTAACGGAGAGTGACCAAACTTGAACTATTGAACTAATCTTAGTGATCATGAATGGAATTAAATATTTTCAGTGACCAAACATGAACGGTTTTAGTAAACCCAGTGACCATCCTTGCAATTAACCCGTTTGAAACATGTCAAGTTTTTCGCTTATAATTAAGGTGATTAACTTTTTGGATGGAAAAGAATTCAGGGTTTATGTTTTCACAATTTCAGTGATGCTTTGTGTCACTTCGTGGTTCCATTTATACTACATGAAATAATCAAATGTGCAATATTAGGGACTTATCGGTGGAGAACTAATTTGATAAATATGCTATCAATATATGAAATCCACATCACGAATATAACAAATATATGCAATTTCAAAATCAAAATAAAAAAACCAAAGCAGAAGGAAAGAAAATGTGCAGTCAAAAGAATAAATAGAATTACCTGTCAAATTATTGTTATCCAAATATAATTCCCGGAGAACGCTGCAATTCCCAATGGTTGCTGGAATACTTCCAGAAAATCGGTTAGAAGATAATGATGCAATCTGAAGATTTGTACAATCTCCAATTCTCACAGGAATTCCACCGTGTAATTGATTCTCATCCAAATATAATTCTTGAAGTTCCCACGCATGAGAACACAAATCATGTGGCAGAATTCCTAACAACCTATTCTCTGAAAGATACACCATTCGAAGAGTAGAAATATTGAATATGACAGGTGGAATGACTCCAGAAAGACCAATATGCCACATACTTAGTCTCCGTAACATTTTAAGGTTGCCTATCTCAACTGGTATATCCCCTGCAACACAAAACCACTTGATGTTATATTTATGTAATCGTAAGCTGTTTTCCCCCACTTCGTCAATACACCAACCAAATTGCTTTGGTACTACCTGTTAAATTTGTGAACGAGAAAGATAGAACCTTCAATGCAGTTAAATTCCCAATACTCTTCGGGATCGGTCCAGTAAACCAATTATGGGAAAACGATAAGTTCTGAAGATTGCCACAACGCCCCAATAAAGATGGGATTGGACCTCCTAGATCATTGTGAGACACCTTCAGCACCTCGATTTTCCGAAACTGATTGCAGATATCATCCGGAAGGCTTCCGGATAGACTATTACTCGCCAATATCAATCTCTCCAGAGAAGAAATGTTGAAAATTGAAGTTGGTATGGCACCTGAAAGCCGGTTTCCCTCCAAATCCAGCACCCTTAAACCCCTAAGATCCCCAAGCGACGGTGGGATGCTACCTCCAAACTGGTTATCAGAAAGGTTGATGATCTTCAACCTCCGCAACTTAGACAGCTCCATGGGCAAATCCCCACGGAAGAGATTGCCGCTGAGATCGAGAGAAACCAAGAAGGAGAGATTACCAATGTGGGGAGGCAGAGTCCCCTGCATCCCCATGTTCGCCAGATTCAATGATGTCACCCTCCTGTGGCGACGGCCGCAGGAGACGCCGACCCAGCTGCTACAGACTTGGGCTGTCGCCGCGGCGGTCCAGTTGCGGGAGAGAGGATGATCGGAAGAAGAAGTGGCGAAGATGATGTGGGCTTTGAGTTGGAGGAGAGCTGCTGCATCACGTTGATGGTTATTGTAATAACTACCAGTAGCAGCAGCAGCAGTGGAAAGGAGGAAGAGGCAGTGTTGGATTAACAGCATGATAACTAGGAAAGGAATCATGGTTGGAATTTTACTTGTAGAATAGCTAGTGGGTGAATTGTATATGACTTGGATCCACAGAGTACTCCCCTGTATTTATACACATTTGCTTGCAAGTGAGGATTGTGTTATTACTGCACTGCTGCAGATCGGGAAATCGCCGGAATCGAGAAAGCAAGAATACGAAAGCGAGAATCGGAAATACGACAGACGATTTATGTGGTTCACTAACACGATGCGTGTTTGCTAGTCCACGGGCGAGAGAGAGTCGATTTCACTATATCGAGGAGATTACAGATTACAGAGGAGATAAGACCCCCATGACTTCCAGTCATAGCGGCTGATAGTTCGATTCAAGTCACACAACAGATTGAATGTGGAAAAAAAAAACTTGATGCATGTGTGGAGGTTATTGCTTGAAATCGTATAAGCCAATTAGATCTCAGCAGCCATGTAAGAGGTTATCTTTAAGGTATGGCTAGTAGTAAGTTATTGCATGGTGGAGTGGGGAAGATGACAAGAATGGAAACCAGCTCCAAAAACCTACCGTGGGTTACAAGTCACAAGGTGGGCAGTGGATGGCGGGGCAGAGAGTCCCCTGAACCTGAAGCCACATAAAAGAACCAGCCAAAGAGGGAAAGACTTTGAATGGGTCAGTCAACTTTGAGTCATCACAATTCACAATCAGCTTCCATGTCGTTGTGGAGATTTTTTGGCATGTATACTTGTGGAAAAAATGAATGGCAGCTAAGAACGAACGGTAGGTGTCGTCATACTGGTTAATTTTCGAAAAACATTATTTAGATTAGTGTCGTGGCCTAGTGCTTTACTCTGTTCTTGATCCGTCGCTGGTAGTTGGAGTTGGGATGATCTGCTGTAATGGTGTATAGAAAGGTGGGGTAACAAATCAGATATGAGTAAGGTTTGTAGAGCTGTTTGGAGTGTGGAGATTAGCCTGCTTTGGCCTTAACGTAGTTCTCGATTATATGGGGACAAGATATTGCATGAAAATTAAGAGAATAGTTTGCTGGAAGGCTGAAGTTGTATACAGGTCTGAAAGCTGGCTTAGGCTTTATCATTGGTGATAGGGGGTCGAAGTTTGGTTTGGGGTTGCGGGTAATTCGGAAATCGCATCAAATCGTACACTTTGTGTGTAACCATACTTACAATTTGTGGATAGTGAATTGGGTGTGGTTAGCAAAATATTGGTATTTTGTGGTTAGTGATTAACCACTATCCACACCGGGTAAACAACAATAACCTCACTAATTATATTTATTTGTTAATAATGCTTTATAATATCATGGTATGTGAAAAGTGGAAGGCTAAAACTTAAAGTAACCCCCAAATCAAACACACTGCACACACTTATTTTATAAAACAAAATCAAGTCAATACACAACATCTGTGTGTGCGATACTTTTATCAAATAACATGTGTCCATGTGAAATATTTTTATTTTATAAAACAAAAACAAGTCAATAAAAAGTCGGATAAATTAATCGATTCATTAGGGGATAATTGATTTACATTTTATTTAACACTTTAATAACTTCCTTTTTTGTATGTTTTTGTGTGAGAAGAAACACAACATCCATATTAATTACCATATTACCATATTCAATAATAATAAAAAATTGGATATCCACAACAAAATCGCACCAATACGCTATGGATAATGGTTAACCGCAAAATATAGGTGTGGTTAACTACAAAATTTGGGGCGGGTAACCACACTCACCCAATTTCCACCCTCGTAGATTGATTGTAAAGAGTAGTGTCTTTTCTTTGCTTACTTTGATGGTTGTAATTCGGTTTGAGAGGCCCCAAAAGATTTTTTTAAGTCTGAGCTTGATGAAATTTTTTATTAATTTTAACATTTTAGGTAAATTTTACATTGACAAAACATGGGAAAGATTCATGGTTAATAGTAAGAAACTGGGGAGGGATTATGGTGATTACTACGAATTAGTAACCATCATGGTTACTAAGGGCAAATTGGGTACGGAAAAAGGGCGAAATTTGCCTGCTGACCAGGTTGCAGCACATAGCTGCTACTTACCAGCCCATGTGGCTACCATCTATTGGTCCAAATTAATTTAATTAATTATTAAATGCTAATTGTGTTTGGACGGGACGGAGAAGTGGAACTTGACAGATTCTTTTGGACAAGACATGGGACGGAGATGAAGTGGATACATGTGTTTCTCAAATGTTTCTTTTATGTATTTTTTATTATAATTGTGATATCAATTTTATTAGTTTAAAGGAAAATGAAGTTAAACAAATACACGGATCGACAGCTACATTATGGTAAGCAAATTAGCAACCTCAAATAATGGGGAATGCTTAAGTTGTAGTGTTAATTACTTTTTTTTAGTTAGCTTATAACTATAGAATACATGGATTGAGATGAATGATATAGTATTATGCACAACATATTCTATTTACATATAAGTTTAGATAGATAGAAAAGTCGATAACATAGGAATCGTTTAGAAGTTGCAATTTTTTTTTAAATGTTACTATACTTGAATTGTATAGAATGTATCATTTTTTAAGCAGACACAATACGTGAATTATTTATGTGATTGTTATAACTCAGCTTTTAGTTGAAATAATTGAATTGAAATGATTTTATCTCAACTTTTAGCTGATATGACATACACAATCACACATACCAAATAGAATCAAATAAATAAATAAATGAATTGAATTCATACTTGTAACAATTGTGTGAATAATATGTTCGTTACATCAGGTATAAAATCAAATCAACAATTTTTTTTAGTTGAACTAATAATCAGACTTCGAAAGTTCATCACCCAAAATTAACCAATTAAGCTATTTCTTTTTCCTTTTGAATTAATAAAAATTGATATCACTATTAAAAATTTGGACTTTGCTACGGTGACATGCATGTCACGGTGACATGCACTTTTCGGACGACCTCATATAGGATCAGGTCGACCTGATCTGTTGTTTCAGTGTAAAAACAGTTTCATGGTGCCTACTTTGGAGATTCATATCTTACAATTGGCTAGATGGAAATTAGAGATTAAAGGCTTGTTTTGAAGCTGAAGTGTCCCTCTACACATTAAAGTACTTGGGAGCTCAATAGAAAGTCCAGAAGACAATTTTTGAACCTGACCAAAAGGCTATGCCAAAACTGGGAAACTGCCTGAAAATGGCTAAGTCTGGCAACGAGTTTGTCAAGCCTACTTTGGAGCTCAATTTGAGAAACATGGATGCGAGTCAAGTCCAGGGGCCTCTACCATGTTAAATTACATATTTTTTTTATACAAAGGTAAGGCATTGGATGAAAGATTGAATATCTTTAAGGCTTCAAACAAAAGGCTCGAAGTTGCTACGAAGGCTTTTTTTCTGGCCGCTTGCTTGTGCTCGAAGTCTGCCAGAAAAATAGCCTTCATAGCAACTTCGACCCTTTTGTTTGAAGCCTTACAGATATCCAATCTTTCATCCAATGCCTTGAATTTGTATAAAAACATACCTAATTTAACGTGGTAGAGAATCCTGGACTCGATTCGCATTCATGCTTCTCGAATTGAGCTCCAATAAAGGCTTCACAAACACGTTTCCAGACTTAGCCATTTCAGGCAGTTTCCCAGTTTTGGCATAGCCGTTTGATGAGGTTCAAAAATAGTCTTCTCGACTTCCTATCGAGCTCTCAATCACTTCAATATGTAAAGGGACACTCCAGCTTCAAAACAATTCATTAGTCTTCAATTTCCATCTAGCCAATTGTATGATATGAATATCCAAAGTAGGCACCATGAACTGTTTTTACACTGAAACAACAGATTAGGTCGACCTGATCCTATATGAGGTCGACCGAATCCTAAATGAGGTCGACCGAATTCTAAATAAGGTCGACCTAATCCTAACTGAGGTCGACCGGAAAGTGCAAGTCACCGTGACATGCATGTCACCGTAGGCACACCCTAAAAATTAATGCATGAAAGAAAGTAACAAACATGAGAGAAATAATTGTACTCACTCCATCTCCGTCCCATGTCCTGTCAAAAATTCCGTCAAGTTCCGCTTCTTCGTCCCGTCCAAACCCAATTAGCATTTACTAATTCATTAAATTAATTTGGACCAATAAATGGTAGCCACGTGGGCTGGTAGCAGCGGTGTGCTGCAACCCAGTAAGCAGCCAAATTTCGCCCCTGAAAAAATATTTATTAATTTCATTTTTCAATAAATTATATTTTAGGAAATTACAAAAATATATTAACTACAATTTCTCTCTCTCCCTTTCTCTCACTTCCACAATCTTGAGCAGTGCTCACCCCACTTGGAGCTAGGGCTGCAAATGAGCCGAGCTGCTCGCGAGCGGCTCGACGTTCGACTCGAGAAAAGCTTGTTCGAAACTCGGCTCGTTAATAAACGAGCCGAACACGAACTAAACTTTCTTCAGCTCGTGAAGCTCGCGAGCTAGCTCGATTCGGTGGCTTGTTGAGCTAAACTCGTGAGCTGGCTCGTTTACAGCTCATGATATGTCTTAACATGTGGCTAGAGAGGCAACTCGATTACCAACTTATGGACGAATCAATCTATATCTTATGATTTTAATTCATATGGTTGTTAAATTATATATCTCACCATATATAAAGTTTAATACGTTGAGTATGTGATCAAATATATCTTATTTTCTACTTTAAAAAAGAAATTATGCATCATAGATTGCTTCGATACTATGAAATGACATGATTTGAAGTAGTTAAGATTTATTAACTAAATGATATATGATACCAAAAAGTATAATATGAGATTAGCTAACAAAATAAATCATATGTATCATGATATATAAAATGAAGTACCAAATAAAAGTCAAGATTTTAATAAACAAGCTAGTTCGAGCTCGACTCGACTCGGCTCGTTAATAAACGAGCTGAGCTCGAACTCGACTCGTTTATTAACGAGCCGAGCTCAAACTGGGGTAAAACTCGACTCGACTCGGCTCATTTGCAGCCCTACTTGGAGCCCTTTATCTGGCTAGATTAAACTTAGGGTGTGTTTGTTTTTAGCTTTTGCTTAGAAAAGTGACTTTTTTTATAATAAAAATGAAGGGAAAGTGTGTTCTGTAAGGCTTTTGTTGATATGATATATTTTAAGTTATTATCTTAGTATATAAAAGCTGGCTACGCTTTTTCATCCATCTTTCGCGTTACTGTTTCATTTCCTGTCGTGTAGCGGCAGCTGGTCTAGCCCTTCCGCTGAGGCTCTTCGGCGAAAGTTTTCCCATCTCTACGCCCACCCCATCTCTTCTTCCATCAGCCGCCCATGCTTGCCGTACAACCCGTACGCGGGCGAAGGCCTGTCTTTCCTTCTCTTTTCGGTGGTGCAGTGTGTCTTTGGGATGCTGCCTGCTACACGGCACCATTGGGAGCGCCAGTTCCAATCACGCCACCGCCCATGCTTTGTTCTGTGCTCTCTTTTCCCAACGACACTATCCTTCTACCCTCTCTCCCACACCACCTTAACGCCATTTGCCGACCCGAAGTAAATTTTATCCCACTTCCAATTTTGCTTCTGCCTTCCCGCTGGTCGGCCGCTGCATTCACCTTTCATTCTCGCTCCCAGTCCCGAAGCTGCGGCTGCCGCCGTGCGGGAGAATTCCACGGCCACTTACGTCTGCAACAGAGCTCTTTTCCCTTCAATGGCGCCCCAAAATCATGTTCTGCTCTCGAAATTAGCCTGGACTGACAAGAATCCTGTACTGAAGCTGCGTCTTCTCCACACATGGATAGCTGGAAACCCTAATCGTCCTGCCAGCTTCTATGAGCATTCAACACTGTGGACGGACGAATTGGTAAGTGACTTCGGTCTGTCTGCTTTTGCGCGTACAATGATGTCTCTAATGGTTACAATTTTCTTCACTTTGTCAAGGGAGTCCTGATTCAGGCAGTGGCGCCACGTCAGCTCTCGCCCCACCTCAACGAGGTACTCACTGTGGGGAGAGTTTACTTCATCTCGCTATTTACCCAGCGTGAGGCAAGGAAGCGCTGGGCCTCTTGCTCTAACGACCGCATCCTTGATTTCACGGCCAAGACTACATTCGTTTCCTCCAACGAGAATGATGCACAGTTCTGCTTGGACAGCTTCGAGTTCCGTGAGTTCGAAAACCTTGAAGCAATTGCTGGACAGGCTGCCCATTTAGTTGGTGAGTTCACTGTCCATTGTACCGCCTTACGCATACAAAACTGTTTGCTCACGCAACTGTTCTACGCAGATGTTGTTGGACGCTTGGTCTCAGCAACGACAGTTACCTATTACCAAAAAAATGATCGCTCTATCCGCCGACGGACCGTAGTCATACAGAACGAGCGGTGAGTCGTTTGATTGATACTAGCTGGTTAGGAATTGCATTCCATGTTGTCCATTTAATCTTTACTTGCGCTGATGGCAGGGACATGTCCATCTCGGTGACGTTGTGGGGAGATTTTGCTGAGAGACTCGCTCTTCAGGAGCTCATTCAGATGGATGGTGCTGCGGCGGTTATTGTGGCATTCACCAGCCTTAACCTCTCAATTTGGAGAGGTATGTTCCCTCTGCTCACAGTTGTGCTGTTGTATTTTACAAGCTCTATCACTAATCTGCTTCCTCTCCAAGGGGAGACAAATAAAAAAAATGCCTAGCCATAGTCACTGTTCTGCTCACCCATTGTCAAGTCGTTCTACTCCTTCCACCTTCCCTCTGTTTGCTTATAGAGCACACCACCTTAAGATAGATACCAAAATACACCATTTACATAGCCATCTTAGAGGATTTCACATCTGTTCATCCAAATTTATTCATTTTTAATGGAACTGTTTCCAGTGGCTTATTCATTTGTGTTTTAGATTCTTACTGCCTTATCGGTGCACAACCTGTTTTCATTCCCAAAGTGCTATCATTGTAGGAACTGTTGGAGCATCCAGTACTTCTGCAACTCGCATCGTTGTTAGCCCTCCCGTCCCACATGCTCAGCCACTTGCACTCCAGTAAGAAACCTGTTTACCTGTTTATTTGTCGTGCCTGATTCCATTGTAACAGTTTTCCTTTTTCCAGTTTTGCTGGAGCAGTGGGTGCACTTGGTGTTGTGCCAATTGAATGTGATACTCCAGAGAAGGCCATGACGCTGTATCGTGACTCCTTTCGAACCATAGCTGAACTTCAGAATGTTCAGTCCATTTCCACCATGGTTGGTGTTTGCTGCCGACCTATTGGTTTGCAATTGTCACTTTACTTACCTTCATCGCTCTCACCTATGTGTTGCTTTGCTCTGTAGGGTGGCAAATTCCGCTGCAAGGCAACAGTCACAGATATAGACATGTCGAGAGAATGGTGCTACCTTGCCTGTGCTGTGTGCTGCAAAGCCGCTATACGACGCGATGCCCCTTTTTGGTGTGACAAGTGTAGCAAAACAGTTAACCCACATGAGTTGAAACACTGGTAATTACAACACTCTTCGGTACCACTATTGCACTTCATGCCTCTGCCTGCAGTTATGATCTCTGCCTAATGTGTTCTTCCTTTTACCACTGCACAGCTTTCGCATTCGTGTCATGGGACAGGACGGTTCTACTTGCGCTCCTTTTGTGCTCCTTGCCCAAACAGCAGAAAGCCTCTTAGGAGTCTCGGCAAGCGCTCTGCTGGCTGCTGCTCCTGATCGAGGTGGTGGGTATCCTCCAGAAATCGAATGCTTGCTTGGGAAGGAATACATCTTCCTCATTAAGCTGCCTATCGGCCAAGTTGCTGACCCCCTCGACGATTTCTGCGTGGCTGGTGTTGAGAAGGAAGACCAGACTGCATCCATGGACAGGAAGCCTCATGGACCACGCTTTGTGAAAACACACGGTCAAGTCGTTTCCACAGTACCGCGTCTTCTGACCGGGTGAGTTCTTCCAACCGCTACTTCGTTTATAATTCGAAATAGGTGCTTGGGACTTAATTAGTTTGTCAATTTTACTGTGTAGCCATAACTACCAGCTAGCAACAGCTGCAACTAGCTCTACTATAGCTTCTTACTCATCGCCAACTAAACGTATGCGCGATTCTGAACTGAAGTAGGTCCGCTGGTACATTCCTGTGTCTTGCACAGTAACCTTTCCATGATAGTTTGGTTCTAGCTCACAAGCTGCCTATCCTTTTCTTGATTAGCGTTCTCATGCCTGTTGATCCTGTTGCCGAGGAAGGGCGTCAGTTCGTGGCACCGCGCCCGACCCACACCTTGGATATGAGGTTTCCTTCACTTAACTGCAGTGTCCATCAAAAGTTTTGGCCGCCCGTCTATTTATTTAATAATATAGTAACATATCGTCACCATTTCTGCAGCAAATTCACCGGCCCGTTTGCGCCTGCAGCCTTCGATGCGGTTTTGTCAGCTGCATCCGGTCCATCAACGGCTGCTAAGCCTTCATCAGCCGCTGCCAGTTCCACCCTGCAGACAACCATACAGACCCCTATCTCACCTGGGTATGTCCTACCAAATAGCATGCAACTTTACCCCATATCCAGTTTACTGTGTCCTGGTCATATGAATTCGGGTTCGCGGTTGTTTCCACCTAGGCCTTTTCCTCTTGACTTTGGTTCCATTGCTCTTTACAAAACCTTGCCAGTAGCATCTGTATTTTGTGGTTTCGGTTGCATTGCACAAGACTTTTGTTCCCACATGACCATTGGTTGCTTTGCTTGCCCTCACTATATTATTATACAGCCGCAGTGGGTCTGCCACTACTCATGTTTCTTATGTTATGCAGCATAAATTCACCTCTCGCTGGTATCACAATTGCGACTCCCCAATGCAATGACAAGAAAAAAGGGAAGAAAACTGCAACTAAGGAGCAGTCAGAGCAGCTACTGGAACAGTATATGCAAACCCTTACTTTTCCCGCCATTACCTTGGTCTGCATTTGTTGCAAACACTTCCCTGTTCTCATTGCACACATATACATTCCAGGAACCGCCTTTCCCAGGGCACCAATTCTGCTTCTCCTGGAGTAGAGATCATTCCTTTGAAAAACAGCGTCCTGCCAGTTACATCTATGCCAAAGGATGTCCCACCTTCTATGATGCCCATTAATCCGTGAACTTTCGTTCTCTCTACTATTGACCCTGCTTTTCCTACTGCATGTGCATGCACCCTTAACTCACTTCCTTGCAATACTTTTTTTCTCTCGCTTCCTGACAGCCGCAGTCAGCCTCTTGCAAAGGTTAAGCTTGAAAAGCTTGAAGAGTCACGCCAGAAAAAGAAGAAAAATGTGGACATTTCTGATGACCTGCCCCTTTCCCAGTTGAAGACAAAGGCTTCAAGGGGTAGAACTGCTGCAAAGAAACTCTTCTAACCAACAAGTTGTCCTGCTTTTGCGCTCCTGAATTGTGGCCTCCACCTTTTGTCATCCACCCGATTTAATCTTTGCTTCCCTTAGCTGTGCAGTGCAGTCAGTGTCGACCATCTTTTGCAATTCGGGTTATTTGCCATATCAATTAGTAGATAGTCTATTTAATCAGATTATGTTATGAACTATGTAATGGATGTTCGGGATTGCCAGTGCTCCTAAGAAGCTACTTCCAGTTTCTTCTTTGCACTTTGTAACTTTGTCTTCTGCAGCATATGAAATTCAAATACTCTTAGGTCTTTCACGGTTTAAGAAATCCACAGTTCAACCTAGCAGCCTCTGGCAAATCAAATTGCTTGCTACACTGAGCCTGCTACTCTCACTCATCTCTTTTACGAATACCAAATTGCTTACATCACTTGCCAGCTATTACTCTTTCCTTATTAGCAATAACATAGTGGTGGTGGTTGAATGGCCATACTTTTTTGGGTGTCAAGGATTACTCTGCAGCCTGACAGAGAAAATGTTGCTTATTGCTTGGTTATATGCCCATCACCCACTTGACTTCCATCAGTCTTTCTATCCTTGGAGATCACTCATCGCTCCCCTCCCCCCTCACCCCATTCCACAATCTAAATTTGTTCCTTCTTTATATTTTGTTGTGCTCTGCTCTATTTTTACTTCTGCAGATTTAGCATTCTCCATACCAGCTGCCTGAACTCCTCTACCACTATATGGCAACTACTCAATGCTCGAAGACTGAAGCACTGGATGTAGGATACTGACTCTCATCGACCACATCCTTCATAAATCACAGGTATTGTCTCTGGAAGTCACACACTCTACCGGTGAAAGAAAGGAACAATATCGTTCTATTTTCATGTCATTCATGTCCTGTATCTTTTCTCAACTGAATCGTTTATGCCTTTCCAAATGCACATACCTCTGTCGAACTATGCATGGGACAACAGGATTTCGCTCCTACGATGTTTCTTCCATAATTAATCAGCTCCTTCTGTTAAATGTTGCTGCAGTTCACCACTTTTGCCGCCTACTAAAATAGTATGACCAGGCCAACGCTGGCCATTCCAGGCTCAACGATTGATGGTTCTCCTTCCAAGGGAAAATCAGCACTTCCTGCCTCCTCACCACGAACTCCCACACCTGTCAGCATCGATCGCCGTGGAAGGAAGCCCAGGTTCACTCCAGCTCACTTTCGATCAGTGGCAACAGAGTTGCTGGCTAGAGATCAAACCAGTCCCCCATCATGCCGACCCACGGAAACTACTTGCTCTACTATACCGGAGATGGCTAGGGAACCAACTAGCAGTTTGCCAGCTAATAGAATTGCACGAAAACGGAAAAAGACAGACAGCGGTTCAGTCCATGCAGGTACAGGGGTTGAAAAAACAGCACACCAGCATAAACATGGATGCTTTGCAACAACTTCTTCTGCAATATTGCATGATCAGACCGTTTGTGTTGCTGGCCCGTCCTTAACGATTCCTCAGGACTTCAACGGTGGCGGACATGATCATACAGGTAAACAGGGAACACGTTTTTGGAATGATGAGATTCTTGATTTTGGCCTTCCAGAATCGGTTTGTCCATATTGTGGGGCTTTGTTCTGGTACGCTGAACGCTTGGACCGCCACCGCAACACCACAATGCCAATATTTGCTCTTTGCTGTAACCACGGTAAGGTTGCACTCCCCCTGCTGAAGAAGACCCCAGCATACTTGGATGCCCTTTTAGACGTCAACGGAGGTCCAGAAGCAAAACATTTCCGCAAGGAAATTCGTCCTTATAATGGTATGTTTTCCATGAGCTCCGTCGGTGCCAAACTTGATCGCAGGGTGACTAACTCTTCCGGGCCATATTCTTTTATCATTTGCGGAGCAAATTATCATCACATGGGCTCTTTGTTGCCTCCGGAAGGGAAGAAACCCAGGTTCTCGCAGCTGTATGTGTTCGACACTGCTGATGAGGTTGGTGATCGCCTCTCAAACTTCTCATCATCCGGCCTTGCTCTTAGACCGCATATTGTTGATGGCTTGATAAAGATGCTCGACCAGACAAACGAACTGGTCAAGAGTTTTCGTAGAGTGGCCAGAGAAGTCCAGGATCCAGCGAATCATAATCTACGCCTGAGGATCACTGGTAACCGGGATAATTCTGACAGGCAGTATGATCTGCCTACTGGGTCAGATATTATAGGTCTTATTCCGGGTGATTTCAATGCTGAGGATGGCGACAAAGACATCATTATAAACCACCGCGAAGAAGGCCTGAAGCGAATTGAGAGTCTCAATCCTAAATTTCATGCTCTGCAGTTCCCCATTCTTTTCCCGTATGGGGAAGATGGCTTTCATCTGGGAATTAAGTGCAATCCCGTTCACAACTCTCCCAATGCTAAGAGGCAAAATGTAACCGAGCGAGAGTTCCACGCATTTAGGTTGCAACACCGAGTGGGTGAAGGCCAGAGCCTAATGCGGGGAGGGAAGGCGCTGCAACATTATTGTGTCGATGCATTCTCAACGATTGAGCAAAACAGATTAAAGTTCCTGCGCCTAAACCAGAAATTACTCCGGGCTGAACTATACAAGGGATTTGTGATGCCTATAGTAAGGGTGATACAACTGGCGAGGGCATTGGTACAATTCTTCCAGCAACATATACTGGTGGTCCGCGATACATGAAGCACCAGTATCTTGATGCCATGGCAATCTGCAGACGCATTGGAAACCCTGATCTCTTTATAACTTTCACCTGCAATGCACAATGGCCAGAAATCACCAAGGCTTTCCAAGAAGTTATCGGCCTCAAACCTGAGGACAAACCAGATGTTGTTGTCCGCGTCTTCAAGATGAAAGTTGCAGCTTTGAAGGAACAAATTCACCGGTATCAGTTTTTTGGCAAATCAGTTGCAGGTTAGTAGTTAGTTTCCTATACTATCAGTTCAATCAAGCTGTTCTTTTTCTGTTACAGAAGGACCGAGTAGGTATGATACTGCAGTTCCACTATTCTGTTCATTTGATTGGCCTTGCTGCTAACTGTGATTTATCCATACTATGCTCACTTTTTTCTCATGGCAAAAGATGTTAGTACTGACAGTTCCAAGCGGGCAATTTGTTTCAATTTATATCTAACCTTTTCTTTTCTCTCCAGATATACATACCATTGAATTCCAAAAACGTGGCTTGCCGCATGTGCATCTCTTGGTCTGGCTTCACGAGAATGATAAGTTGAAAACAACTGAGGCCATTGATGCAACAATATCGGCGGAACTGCCAGATCCAGAAATGGACCCGCTTGGGTATGCAACTGTCACAAAATTCATGCTCCATGGACCATGTGGTCAGGCCAATCAAAGATCACCGTGTATGGTAGAAGGAAAATGCAAGAAGTTCTTTCCAAAGCCTTTCAACTCTGCGACCACCTACGATCACAACGGATATATAGTCTACCGCCGTCGCAACGATGGTCGCACTTTTGACAAGGGTAATGGCATCCTTGATAATCGGCATGTGGTACCTTACAACCGGAACCTGCTGTTCATGTTTCAAGCACACATAAATGTAGAAATTTGCCACAAGGGGAGGCTTATAAAGTACCTGTTCAAGTATGTGACTAAAGGCCATGATCGTGCTACAGTTGTTGCTGAAAACTGCCCTGCCCAGCAACCACTTGCTTCCCAGGGACCGTCTCGAGAACCACGAGATGAGATAAAGCAGTTTCTCGATTGTCGTGTTTTGTCCTCTTTTGAGGCAATGTGGCGGATCTTTGAATTTCCTATACACGAGAGGTCACCAGCCGTTGTTTGTCTTCCTGTCCACTTGAAAGACCAACAGTCTGTTGCATACAATCCAGCTGCATCTCTTCAATCGGTTGTGGAAGATCCAGAAAAGTCAAAGACAATGTTGACTGAGTTTTTTATCCTCAATCGGATAGACCCCGAGGCTAGATCTTTGACATATGCTGATATACCTGGGGCCTATACATTTCATCTACGCCCAAAACACTGGAGCAGGAGAAAGAAAGGATACGTGATAGGGCGCATTGTTTTCATCCCACCAGGTACGACCGACGTCTATTTTTTACGCATGTTGCTTACCAAAGTGCCTGGCCCCACTAGCTTCGAAGACCTTATGACAGTTGATGGTCACCTTTGCAAAGATTATAAGGAAGCGTGTATGCTTCGTGGCTATCTTATCGATGATGGCGAACCAGAAGCAACAATGGTTGAGGTCGGGCAATGGGGAATGCCGGCCTTGCTGCGTTCTCTATTTGTCATGATTCTGGTGCATTCCGAGGTTGCTGATCCTAGAAAGCTCTTTGAGACAAATTGGCGCCTCTTTGCAGACGATTTCTCATACCAAACCAGACGTGGGTTAGATATGCAGTACTTTCAAGCGCCAGATGAGTATCTTCGCAATGAGGTCATCAAGCATATTGAAGCTCTATTGCATACCCACTGCAGGACTCTAGCTGATTTTGGACTACCACAACCGGCTGATTTGGGCCATAATCTGGTTGGGAATCGCTTGATCTGCGAGCAGCTCAATTATGATGTGTGCATGCAGCAGCGCACAGCAGAACAAATTTACTCCACATTGAATCGGGGACAAAAAACTGCGTATCACAACATCATGGCCTCTGTTGACGAAGAGGCCGGCAGGTTCTTTTTCCTATACGGACATGGTGGCACCGGAAAGAGGTATTTATACAATACGATCATAGCAAAACTTCGCAGCCAACAGAGAATCGTTTTGGTTGTTGCATCCTCAGGCATTGCAGCTACCTTGCTGCCCGATGGGTCCACTGGTCATTCCAGGTTTAAAATTCCTATCGATATTGATTGCTTTTCCACCTGCAAAGTTAAGAAGGGAACTCAGTTGGCAGAATTGTTACAACAAACATCGCTAATTGTATGGGACGAGGCACCAATGACACATCGATTCTGCTTTGAGGCTCTAAACAAAACCCTCTGTGACCTCATGGATTTGCCCTGCAGTGGCCATGCATTTAGGCCTTTTGGTGGAAAGACAGTTCTGTTAGGTGGAGATTTCAGACAAATTCTGCCAGTCATACCAGGTGGAGGGCGAGAGGAAACTCTTAATGCATCGATCATCCGGTCTCCTTTATGGCTACACTGCCATCTTCTCTGTTTGCAGCAGAATATGCGTATCAATCATGACGCTGTCAATGAAAGAACAATTTTTGATGCCATGACGTTTCCACAGTGGGTGCTTGCGGTTGGAAATGGAACTGTGCCTGCTGCCTCCTTAGATGATAACTGCGACAAAACTTGGATCAACATACCTCAGTGTTTAGTCCTACCACCAAATGGTGACTCAACTGCTCCAATTGTTGACTTTGTCTTCGATGGTCTTCTTCATTCATACAGGTCAGTTTCCTTTCTCAAGAACCGTGCTGTCATAACACCAACAAATGAGACTGTGTCCAGAATCAATGCCTCTGTTCTTTCATGCATTCCAGAGGAAACAAAAACATACTACAGCACAGATAGTTTGTGTACAGAATCGACAGATGATTCAGACCTTGAAAATCTCTACCCTGTTGAGTTCCTCAACTCTCTGGCTTTCAATGGAATGCCGGAACATGAGCTGTCTTTGAAACTTTACACACCAATAATGCTGCTCCGAAATATCGATCCACCTGCTGGTATGTGTAACGGAACCCGACTCATGGTAGTACATCTTGGTGCTAATGTTATCAAGGGAATTATACTCACTGGTACGTACGAGGGCACAGTCGTGGCCATACCTAGAATTGCTCTGAACTTTAGTGAACACAAATGGCCATTCACAATGAAGCGCAGGCAGTTTCCCGTGCGACTTTGTTATGCCATGACAATTAACAAGAGTCAGGGTCAGACTCTGGATCGGGCAGGAGTTTTCCTACCCAAACCTGTTTTTAGTCATGGTCAACTGTATGTTGCTGTTTCCAGAGTTCGATCTGCAGCAGGCCTTAGATTTCTTATACACAATGATGCAAGCCCAGCCTACAACTGCACGAAAAACGTCGTCTACACAGAACTGTACTCTGAACTGGTCTTCCATGGTAACTATGCATTCTTTTTTTACCCCATAATGCATGTATCATCGCATCCTTTACCATACATATTCTCCTAACATCTTCTGTATAACAGAACCTGGAACTCGAGAGGAAACCGATGAACATCAAGCACACTAGACATGTATGTATATACTATCACCATGACATGGTTTCTCTTATGACAGTACATCAAATTAGTTTTTGTACATAGACATATTGTTGGATTGGGTTCCCATAATGAGGAACCATCGGTTTGCAACAGTAGAATAAACTTTAACCTGCTTGCTTGGCCACTGCTTTCGAACTTACCATTTGTTCGTTGTCTCAGTACTCATGCACCTTCCTATGTGCAGTAAACCTTCAAGAGCTTCCAATCATAACACCTTGCAAGTCTGTTCCCGCCACAAACTCTCTTTTGTCTTCTCACTGCGGACAAAGCCATATGCACATCTTCTGCCGGACCCTATGCAGTAAAACTCTAATTACAATGGTGTTGGCACCGCTGTCCAGTTTACACCGTGTTCGTACTAGATTTTTTCTGCATAAGGTTGCCCGAACAAGCATGGATAGTCCTGTATTGCAATTCCGTGCAATTACTCCTGTCTACATTTACAGTGGCATCTTGATCTTTTGTTTTGCACACATTTAGTATGTGTATATGGCTTCAGTTCCCATTTGAGGTTTGTTTAAATGTAATGGAATGCTTCCTCTGGTTCAACTACAAATGTAATAGAATGGCTCCTATGTGGAATTAAAACAATGTGTCTCCTCAATCTACCAAAGCTATCGTGTAAAACCCAGACACACACAAGTTTCAACTTTGTTATATCACATTTGTTCACTGACAAGCCGTTCCTTCTCGAACATGAACTACCATCACCGTCTGGGATCCGCTCGCCTTTGGAATTCCATCCACCTGCCAATGTGCTTCCATGCTGTGACGTCCAACTCCCTATTTAAACTATGTATTCGGCAATCTTGCTACGCTGCGCCAGTTCCACTTAGAATTTTGCTGCACCTAAACCAGTGTTATCTGTTTATGTGCTTCCTCTTGCCTCCTTGCAAAGGAATCAGGCATATTTTGCTCATGTATGAAGCACAACTGCAGTTTGACCCTTGATTCGGCAGCACTTTCTGTATGCTTTGTGTCTCGCTATTGTTCACTTATCTTAATGCTATGTGGTGAGCCTCTCTTATTGTTATTACACCTGTTGCAGTTTCCTGCACCATGGAAAATCATGTTCTGTTCAGAATCTCCAACTACAATGTGCATATGTAATGGACACTACCTACCTAACTAAATTTTCAGAACTAACACATGATCAGAAAGTGGAACTGAAAAAGCATACTCATTTTCCCATTACCTAAGACCCTGCGGCGTAGCCGCGGGTATTGGTTCTAGTAAATATAATTGATGACGAGAGGTAGTTTCTTTAATGAGAAGAAGAAGCAAGTTGTCTTGGTCTAGTGTTGTTTTAAGCTGTAGACTGGCGTTGCTGGTGCAGGTTCTCTGAGCAAGTGAATGCAACTATTGTTGCTCTTCTGCAGCCGGTTCACTACACAACAGAGCGGAAAGTGCATCTGGTTTTCGACATGACAACCATTCCTGCTTTCTTTGTTGTTGCTGGTCTTCTGTATGCCGTGTTGAAGCCAGGACGGGCCAAGCCTAAGATTAACTAACGAAAAGATCACGGGGCGTCCTCGTCTTCTGAAGCATATCATCTTGGGATGGGGGATCGATCATTTGAATTGGACACACCTATCCCTAACACAGGTTTCACTATATACACACCTTCGATCATTTTCGGTTTAATGCTACCATTGTTGAGGCTGCCGGTTAAAATTTGTCCAAGTGAAATAGGAAATAGGATTTTTTAGAACGTAGCCATAAGTTAGATGATGTAACCAGATGGCACTTGCTACTTGCTATGCATAGCAAGTGCTGTTGTAAGTACAGAGAGACAGAAAGAGAGAGAGAGAGAGCGAGTAGTACCATTATGGCCGTAGATTTTGGAACGGAGTAGTTTCTGATGATGTTAGTTAGCCGCTGGAAGAAATTTTGCAGATTAGAAGTTTCTGTTCGCATCATTCAGCTTGGTTGATGTGTAGCCATAGAGGCTTCTATTATCAACTGGATTTCTTTATTGTTTCTAGTATTATTCATCCAACTGAAAGCGGAAACTAGTTTTTTTTCTTCCTGTTGTGTACCCTTAGTATCAAAATGTCACTAGATTTCGGGATCGAATTAACGATGCAACTTTTTCAACGCTTATGCAACGCACTTGGATGGAACGTTAACATGGCCAATTATTAAATGAATTTCTTGTTATGAAGCAAGAACTTTCCTCTGCCTCCTGCATCATACTGTTCTACATTCCCACCCCAGCTTCAGCTTCAGCTAACTCGCTCGCACTCTGTCCTAACAAGAAGTCGCAGAGTTCTAGAAGCTGATACCCCAGCTTCAGCTTCAGCTAACTCGCTCGCACTCTGTCCTAACAAGAAGTCGCAGAGTTCTAGAAGCTGATAAGCTAGAGTTGGGATGCCAGGGTTTCGCCCGTCATTGCATTTGTGGGCATTGAAAGCGATCAGCCACACGCCGCGTCTGAACTCCTCTCTGTTCTTGTACTCCATCTTCCTCACCTTTTCCTTGATCGTCGCAAGATCCATCGGTCACTCTAATATTCTAGATGTGCTCATGGTCCGCAACACCATGCATCAAATCATATAATCTGATTCCACAGTACTCTGTCCTACCGGTTAAACTGCATACCAAAGACCAAACTGACACGGCTATATCGCATCTTATTACGGTTTTACCAATATATATTTGGACTATCAACAACTTCACTAGTTCAGTTTCCCACAAGGTTCACAAAGATTGATATTGCAGACTCAATTTGGTCAGGCATTTCAAACATTGTGTAGTTGAGAAGCTGAAGTAAGACCAAAGGAGGTTTTTTAAAATCCATTACAGGGAGCACATCCAACTTAAATCAACACAAAAAGCATGCATAGCCAGCTGAAGAAGGAGAGAATCCTTTTTCCCAGAGCCAACAACATTTGCCAGCACAACGGCAGTTGGACTAAGTTCAAATCAGTAGAATCACATACACAAACTTAGGAAGGAAATCATGTTGTGAATAAAGAGGGATGAATAGTTTTACCACACTGCAATTGAATCCTTTTGAAAATCACAATGCTGAATTCATGGATTTGGATCCTAATTGCCACCTCTATCACCATGCATAAAATCTTTTAATCCAATTCCACACATCTCAGAATCATATTCAATCTGCACCGATATTGATGACAATCCATGGACCATGGGTTGAATTGAATTGAATAAAACATGAAACAGAACCATTAACAAAGTCCAGTCTATGATCCAAACAACACAAGCAGACAAAAAAAGTGAATCAGACTTAGTTGTTTACGCGCCTCTAATCCACACAATAACTATTGCATAATTATAGCTCTGTAATTCATGCATCTCAATTAATAAAATATATAAGGCACGAGACGAGCAGTTGAGAGAGAATAGGTGAAGGACCATGGATAAATAGAGGGGGGAAAAATACATCACATAGTTTTAATGAGAAGCAGGATTACCTGCAGCATCAGTAGATGTGTTTGAGGATTTGAGTGACAACTGAAAGTTGAAACATGTGATTGGCCACAAACAAAGCTTAGAATGTATTCAATAAATCACCCGAATGCTAAAACAATCCCTACATTTATTCCTGTCTAGTTTTCATGATCGATGACGAAGATCTAGTAGCAATTGCGACTTAATCTTTTTGAGATTGGCAAGTATGTCATTGATGGCCAACCTATCCCTTGGTGTATCAGCACAACATTCTAACGCCAGTTTCATAATTGAAGATATGCAACTTTCTCTAGACTTAAAATCCCTATTACTGTTGTAATTCAGTAGATTTGCATCAGCATACTTCGTGACTCCCTCGGGCACTAATGTCGTAACCCATTGCTTCATGCTCATCCCCTCTTGAAATGATTCTTCTGTCGGGTTTCTTCTAGTGAACACTTCCATCACAAGAATTCCAAAACTGTACACATCGCTCTTTGTTGACACTATTCCCTCCATGCCAAATTCTGCAGTCCATTAAACAGCTTGCATGTGAAATCAATAATCATTTGCGGTTACAATATAAGGGCGAAATTCTTAACATGTAATATGGTACCTGGTGCCATGTATCCAATTGTAGCAAGGGTCAACGTTCGTGTCATGGAATCCCCGCTTCCAAGGAACTTGGAAATGCCGAAATCAGCTATATGAGCAACGAGATCTCCATCCAACAATACATTACTTGGCTTCAAATCACAATGAACAACTGGAATGGAATAACCTTGATGGAGATATTCAAGAGCCGATGCAACATCGATCAAAATGTCCAACCTCTTAAAAATGTCGAGAAAGTAGTTGTGTGAATATAGCCACTTATGCAAGCTCCCGTTAGGCATAAACTCCAATACCAATGCTTTGAAACCAGTCGTGTAACAAGTGCTGATAATTTTAATGAGATTTCTGTGGCGGAGATTTCGTAAAACTTCACATTCAGTATCATTACCAAATATGTCATCATCATCATCATCATCAGCATCAGCTTCTCCTTCCGAATCACTAAACACCTTTATCGCTACATTGGTGTCATCAGCTAGAACACCTTTGTATACACGACCAAAGCTTCCCTTTCCCAATAAGTTACAGTCGTCAAATCCATCAGTAGCTCGTTGAAGCTCGAGCAAGGAAATCCTTCTCCATGTTAGTGAAGCCAATAATTCTTCCTTCACCTTGTTCCTCTCTTCCGAGCTCTTTTTTCGGCGGCGTATCATTACTATCAAAGTGAAAGCAACAATTGATAGTGACAAGACGATCGAAACCACAACTGCAATTAGTAACTTGTCAAAGTGCTTGTTGTGTCCTTGTGTGCATTGTTGCACTCCAAATTTGGGTAAGCCACATAGGCCAGGATTCAACAAGAATGATTTCGAAGACATATTTGCAAAAGGCCCACCATTTGGAATTTCTCCCCATAACCCATTTTGAGAGACATTGAGTTGTTTCAGATACCTCAATGACTCCATGGTTTTGGGGATGATACCAGTGAGATTATTAGCTGACAAATCCAAGAACTCGAGGCTGACCAAGTTCCCAATGGCTTCAGGAATCGGACCTTGGAAATTATTCAGTGCAAGATACAGATTTTGTATGTTTGTAAGGCCTCCGATACTTGCTGGAATGTCACCTGATAACTGATTTCCTGATAAATCCATAGTGATCAAGTCTTTGAAGTTTCCAAGTCGTGGAGATATAGAACCGATCAGATTGTTTCTGGCTAGACTGAAGTCCAACAAGTAGGTGAGATCCCAAAATGATGAAGGTATCACAGAGCTTAACATATTGAATCCCAAGTAGAATTCTCTTAAGGAAGTCACATTGGGGAAGCATTCTGGGATTTGTCCAGAGAAATTGTTCTCCTCCAAAATTAAACTAAACAATGATGGTAGCTCACAAAGTTGATTCGGAATGACTCCATGTAACTCATTCAGATAAAGGCCCAAGTATTGAAGCTTCTTCAGTTTATGTATTTCCCATGGAATGGACCCCGTCAATCGATTGGATGAAAGTTCGATTGCAACGATGTTGCTCAAGTTTCCTATTCCACCTGGAATGTTGCCTTGTATCTTGCAGTTAGATCCAACAAAATACTGCAAAGACGAGGAGAGATTCCCCATGGAAGGTGGTAATGCACCCTCAAATGAAGTCCCCGCGATCTCCAAGATTTTCAAACTCTTGCATGATGTTAAAGAAGTGAGGAAAGACGGATCTACCACTAGATTACTATTACCCCAAATCCGGAGCTCTTGGAGCATCTGAAGATTGCCAAATGTATTGGGAACACAGCCGGAGAATGAATTGCTTGAAAGTTCCAAAGTTTCAAGCTTAGAAGCATTGGAGATGGACGGTGGTATGCTTTCATTGAGGTTATTGCCTGCAAAACTAAGCCACTCCAAATTTGGAAGGTGCGAGCCAAATGTTGGTGGGAGATTTCCTGATAATTCATTATCATAAATACCCATTTCCAATATGGATGAGATGTTGAAGATCGTCCATGGAATTAAGCCACTTAATCTATTTTGACCAAGGGCCAACTTTTGAATAGCATTTAGATAACCCAACTCCATAGGAATTTCACCTGCAACATATCAATAAGTAAGCGTAGTTCTTGTAAAGTATTCCTTCAAATTGTAATATACCAACAATTGAAGGGGGTACCATTAGTATTCCATAAATAAATAAAAAAATTATGATGCTTTTCCATTGGTTTAAGAAAGAGAACTATGTTAGCATTTGAGGTTCTTGCTTTCAGATCTTCTAAGTCTGAAAAAAAAAATTGAGAGACATTTTAGATCTCGACGTTGTTTTTATTAATATTAACAGACTTTCAAGTGAAAAATTCATTAACACCTTCCAAAAAGTTAATCCTAAGTCCTAATGCCATTGAAGAGTGACCTCGAAAGCAAGTTTCATGTCGTGCCATGAGGCCATGCTCTTCTCGCGACATTTCAAATTATATTTGTGCGGTGATGCTCACCAGTTCTCCAATAATATATGATAGAGTTTTGTGTATTTTTGTCCATTTCAAATTAGCTTGTGT